AGGTCTCTGGGCTAGGGCTCTGGGCTAGGGCTCTGGGCTAGGGCTCTGGGATAGAGCTCTGGGCTAGGGCTCTGGACTAGGGCTCTGTTCTAGGGACCTGGGCTAGGGCTCTGGGTTGAGCTCTGGGATAGACATAGGGAACGAGCCCGGCCGGGCCTGAGTTAAATCTAGGCCGAAAGCCCGGCTTGTTTCAATGTAAAAAATCCGGGCCGGACCTGAGCAAAACGGAAGTCGGACCAGGTCTAACATTCAGGCTCGGCCCGCTCCCTATGTCTACTCTGGCTAAGAGTACATGTCATACTTTTTATTTTTTTTTATTTTTGACATGTTTTTTGCTACTATTTTTAGTGTCTGCTATGTCAATATTTACTTTTTTTGTTTTGTTTGAAATCTTTTTGACAACAACAATTTTAGAAGGTCTAAAAGTCAATAGATAAGGTGGAAAATTTATTAATTGACGTTGTTTTTTGATAAGAATAATCAAAGTGTTCAAAGTTGCAAAATAGTTTTAAGGTTTTGCTAGTAGCCTTAATAACGTTTATTAGATTTATCTTGACTTTGGCTATAAACATATTGTTTTTTAGAGGTTTGACAGGAAGATTTAAGCCTAAACACCGGCATTTAAATCATAGTTTTAGGCATAAATTGACGTTTAACTTATACTTTAAGGTCTAAAACAACATGAAAAGCCAATTTTTATGGCTCAATCAATGTAAATATACATAGCTTAGTACTAGACTAGTACTAAAACATGTATTTATATTAAACAGTTAGTATTAACAATACCTTTCCAAGCCTTAAACATCAAAAAACTCCATTTTTGAAACCAAAAACCTAGCCAAAACTCTCAAAAAACAAGTTTTCGTACAATTTTTACTGAAATCTATTTTTAGTCCAAGGCCAAATGATTTGCAGTCCGTTGAAAATGTGCGAATGTTTAGAGTTTATGGCCCCGCAGGGGATTTGAAATGTAACATGACGCGCTCATTGGCTATCTTGTTTCAATCTTGAAACAGCGCGACGTCGCTTCCCCAACGTACGCGAGGTCTTCATGTCATACTAATACGAATTGAGTGCGCACGTGAGATTTAATATTATGTTTTATAGCCTTTACCCTAGTCTTAGCTCTAGCCCTAGCTTAGAGCCTTAGTTTAGAGCCCTAGCCTAGAGCTCTAGCCCGGAGCACTAGCTCAGATTTCTAGCCCGGAGCCCTAGCTCAGAGCTTTAGTCTTGCCTTACCTTTTGCTATACCCTTGACCTACTAGTGCCATTCCCTTCCAGATTTGCTTTACTCTTGCTGTCCCTTAGCCTGAGCCATGGCCTGAACATGAGCCTGAGGCCTAGCTTTGGCCAATCCTAACCTTCCATAATGTGTACTCTAAATTAATCTTTACCCCATCTGAAGGCTATAATGGCCCTTCTCATAAGCTTACTCTAGTCCTAAAAAATTTAAAAGCCCTACTCTCACCTTTAGCTTTACTGTACCTTCCGTATGTTTGTTGCCTACAATGAAAATTTTAGGCATCTTATAGGTAATATATTATCTTTTATTGCACTTTGCTATCTCTAGTTGAAAATTTAAGTTTTGCCATTTTTTTTAAAGCAAGGCCTATTTTAAGAAAGCGACATGTTTAGACTTGAAAGATTTGGCAATGGTTGTTTGCCATGGGTTAAATTTGTCTTTTCAGCCTTTATGTCTTATCTTATGCATGACGTGTAGTTTTTTAAATCTGAGCTTAAACTTGACAAAAATTTTAAAAAAATATTTTTTAATTTGGCCTATTAATCTATTTTGGACTTAGTTTAAACTTTTTTTTAGGTTTAGATAGTTTAAAACGGCTCTAAGTTGTTTATCACCAAGATAATTTTGACATTTTTAAAATTTTTTAAAAAATTTAAACTTTAAAGTATCAATAATATAAGAAAACCCCAAAATACCACCCCCACCACAACAGTAATAGGCCAGTATTGTTTTCTGGTTTCATTTTTGAGAATTGATGAGTAAAATCTGTAGTCGGACAGGAAGGGGAAGCTTTTTTCCGGTTGGACCGCAGAAAGAAATGACCGATAAACTCTCATTAATTCCCCCAAAAAACCGCTTTTGCGACATTTCGTACTTGGCCCAGACGGAAGGATGGCCATGAGATAAAGGGCACTTTAATCATTATTTGTTTTAATTGAAAGTAGGTTTGGGCTGGAGTTCAGGCTAGGGCTTAGGTTAGGGATTAGACTAGGGCTCAGACTAGGCTTTAGGCTAGGGCTCAGGCTGGGCTTTAGGCTAAGGCCAAGGCTAGGGCTTAAGATAGGGATTAGGCTAGGGCTCAGGCTAAGACTCAGGCTAGGGATCAGGCTAGTGCTCAGAATAGGGCTTAGGACAGGATTCAGGCTTGGGATCAGGCGAAGGCTCAAGCTAGGCCTTGAATAGAGTTTCAACTAAGGGCTCAGTCCAAGGCTCAGTCTAGGGCCTCGATCTAAGGCTGAGGCTAGGGCTTAAGCTGGGTTTTAGCTTAGGGCTCAAACTAGGGCTCAGACTAGAGCTCAGGCTAGGAAACAGGCTATGGCTTGCGAAAAAGTGTGGCATTTTTGGTTTTAAGAGTTCGGCGGGGTATTTCATAACTTTTTCATTTTGTGATTTTGCATGGTAGTTGAAATTTTATTTTTTTCATTTTTTAGTGTTGGGGATGGGGAGAAAAAAATTATTTTAAATGATTTGTGTTGGGTATGACGTTTTTGATATTTTTATTATTTTTTATTTGGCAGTATAAAGCTTTGCGGATTTAAAAATTTTTAGAAACAATATATATAAAAACTAGAAAAATTTTTTTTTATTTTCATAACGACTATTTGGGAAAGCGTATTTCACTTTAATTTTTTATTTTTTTGATTGTATTATCCAGTACAATATTTCAAATAGTTTCAAAGGCTAATTTTAAACGTTTTCCTCCCAAATTTCCTCGTTTTTCTTGGAAGTTCGAGCAAAAACACGACTTTTTAACGGTTCAACGAACTTTTTAAAAACATTACCCGGACGAAATTAATGAGTATTTTTAACAACTTGACTGACATTAAATTTAAAACCCGACGACAATGTTTTTCGTCATGTTTTTGAGACTTAAGAGCTAAAAAGACTGTTACATACACTTTTTTTCTGGATGTAGGTAACGTTTTTTGATTAAAATAGAAGGTTTATTGTTTGGAATTGATTGTAAAATGCGTTTATTTTAAAGCGAATATAATTTACAATGTTTTACAGTAAAAAATTTTTGTGGGGTCATTTAAAGAATGGCAGAAAAAACGGATTTTTGAAGAAAAAAGGTCAATTTTTGAGTTTTTAACCAAAAGTCAAGCAAAAATCAGGCCAAAAATGCCATTTTTTATTAAAACTAACTAGTAAAAACTATAAATTTACAAATTTTGATGTTTTTGTGACTTTACTTTTTAAAGATGGACATGTTCTAGGCCACATAATCGTATGTTTGGATTGATTTTATGGCCTTTTCGGGTCAAATGGTCTAAAACAACATAACTTTTTGGGGTTAATCGTATGTTCAAAGCTTCTGTTTAGTATCGTACTGTAATGTATTGTCGTAAAAATATTTTTTTAAATATTTTTAAAAATTAAAAAAAATTTTGGAAATTTTTTTTATTAATTTTAGGTATCAAAATTTAAAATAAATAGGGTTCAAAGCCCGAAAAATAGGAAAAATTCAAAATTTTGCCATTTTTAAATAGAAAAAATTAAAATTTCAGAAATTGGTCGTTTTTTTCGTTCAAAAATCAAACTTTTTGTTTATTTTTGTTTTCAAAAAAAAAGATTTTTTTATTTTGCCAGACGGCAATAAACTTTACAAGCCCTGAGGACATCCGAGGCTTAAGGAAGTGGCTCCAAATTTTAACATAATTGTTTTCACTTTGCTTTTCTCGGTAAAATACGTGTTCTGGTTAGCGCGTTTTGAAGTTTCCAAGTTTTAAGTTTTAAAAAATCTTTTTTTTTAATTTTAAAATTTCGTTTTTAGGGTTAGGGTAATCCTATGGGAAAGGCTATTTATAGGCTTAAGATGGGAGTAAGAAGTAAGTTAGAATAGACATTATAGAAGGGTAGGATTGGTTAGGGTGGCTCAGGGTAAAACTAGGGCAGAGCAAGTGTAGGGCAGGAGTATAGCAAGGGTATAGCATGGGTGGGGCTAGGGCTCTGGGCTAGGGCTATTGCTAGGGCTATTGCTAGGGTTCTGGGCTAGGGTTCTGGGCTAGGGCTCTGGGCCTGGGCTAGTGCTCTGGGCTAGGGCTCTGGGCTAGGGTTCTGGACTAGGGCTCTGGGCTAGGGCTAGGGCTCTGGGCAAGACTCTGGGCCAATACTGTGGGCTAGGGGTCTGGACTAGGGCTCTGGACTAGGGCTCTAAACTAGTGCTTTGGGCTAGGGCTCTGGGCTAGGGCTCTGGACTAGGGCTTTGAGCTAGGGCAAAGCAGGGCAAATGAAGCTTTATTTCCTTCATTTTTTCTCAAAATTCCTTTAAATTTAGCCAAAATCACCCCCAATTTCGCAATTCCCCCTTCCAACCGCCTTAAGGGTTTCTTTCCTCAAAGATGGGCGCAAAAAAAGGCTGTCATTCAAACCATTTTTTGGTGGTTTATCGCCGTTTTCGTGTCCCCATTTTATCTTTTTGTCGTTTGAGAAGGCTCCCTTCTTGATTATTAGGTCCCTTATAGGGTCTGGCCATTCTTATGGGGGTGTTCTTTTGATTATTTTTGGGGGGGAATAGAAGTTAGATGTTCTAAAAGATAAAATACGATGATAATATTTTAATTTTTTGGTTTTAATATCATTTTACATTGATATCACCTACTATAATATAATTTTAGTGTTACCGCAACTTTTACTTAATAAAATTGTTTTCGCGTTTAAAATTTTTAAAAATAGTGTATTTTTTTTAAACCCTATTTATTCCAGGTTACTCTTCCTTTTAATTGTATGGATTACTAAACTTGGCGCGCAGGCTGCAATGACGGACTCGGCCTCGGACGCGGTTCGCGTCGCCGTTCGGGTTCGCCCAATGAACCAAAGAGGTGAGTTGCATTATAAATCCATTATAAATGATATTTTAGCCTACTTTAACAATTTTTATTGTTTTTTAATTTAAAAATTTCAAAAAATTTTTAAATTTTTTTTAATTTTTGGGTTACTGTAACTTTTGGGTTAAAACCAAAATTTTTTTCTTATTATACGTAAAAGTAAGAGTAAATGCCCCATTTTTCACATTGTAATCGAGTTTCCATAAGTTGAAAAGTTGTTTTACCTAAGGGCTTTTATTCGATTTATTTACGGTCCGAAGGGCTTTTATGAGGTCAAAAGCTTATCAAACCCACTATTTTTGGACTTAAAATGTACTGAAGTTCAACCATTTTAATTGACCATAAAATTGAAACATGTTTCTTGAGGTTACTGTAACTTTTTACTGTAAAAACCGGTTTTTTATTAAAATTTTGATTGAAAAAGAGTTTTTAAATGTTTTCAACGATTTTAAAGTGCAAAAACTTATTAGACTAGCCTAGAAAATGTATGAAAAGTAAAATATTAACATTTGTCAGAAGTAGTGTTATCATAAAATGGCAGTATTTTAGTAGAATTAGTTTAGTTTTAATTGATTTTGGCTCAGAAACCTTGTTTTTCTGGAAATAAATTAATGTTTAAAGCACTAAAAAGCGTGGTAGTAGACGAACTCTTACTGGAACTATAGCGTGACTACTCTAAAATGAACTTTAATGATCTGTGACATAATTTAGAAAGAAAAACAGAGAAAAATTTAGGTTGAAATATGGCTAAAATTAACTTTTTTTGGAGTTGTTCTTGCTAGCTCTAGCCACAGTTTTGGTTGAAAGCTGTAGCCTAAGCCCTAGGACAGTCCTAGCTTTAGTTCTAGTTCCAGCCCTGGCCCGTGCCCTAGCACCGAGCCCTAGTTCAGAATCCTAGCCAAGAGCACTAGCCTAAAGCCCTAGCTCTGGCCCTTAGCCCTCGTTTCTAGCGCCGGCCTTAGCTGCAGCTTTAGCCCTCGCCCTTGCCTTACCATTTGTCTTATCCTTGGCTCTAGCCTTACCTTTAGACGTAACCTTAGTTTTAGCATTAACGATAGCCGCAGCCTTGGTCCTGTGCCCTAGTTCCTAGCCATTACCTATATATAGCCCTAGACCTGGTATTTAGCCCTAGCTCTAGCTTTAGCTCTAGTCCTTGCCCTAGCTCTAGGGCAATTCAGCCCTAGCTTAGCCCTAGCTCCAGTTTTAGCTAAGTTAGCCGTTGTTTTAGTCTTACAAAGGAAGTGTCTTACTCATTTGTTAGTCCTAGAGCAGGAAGTTACGGTAGTAAACGATGTTCCAAATCTTTCGAAAACTAGCCAAATTTTAGTGACATAAAACGCTTTGAAATGTGTTTTTTCGTCCATGCCAAATAAGGCCCCGAGGCCACATAAACGTGTTTATAGATCTTCAATGGATAAAAGGGTCAAATCTGAAGGCCAATTCCTAAAAAAGATAACTAAGAAGTGCTTTTTATAAAAAAATTTTAAATCAAATTTCAGAGGTCAATTTGCAAACAAAATGTGTGGTACGAATGCGCGACCAACAAACTGTACTAAATGCACCAAAAGATGAGTAAGCATTTTAATTTTTAAGTGCAACATGCAATGACTAAGGCATGGAAATAGGGTTGGACATGGCAACGTAGAGTAGAGTAAAATAAGGTAGGGTAGGATAAAATAGGGCTTATGGTACCGTAAGTAGGAGAATAGTATACTGCCTAAGATCGGGTAGGGTAGGGTAGGGTATTTTTATGAAGTAACTAACCAAAAAATGTAAAATCATTATATTAACCATGCCACAATTACAGTAAACTCCCTAAAACCTTTGCTTTCGACAACTGCTTCGACTCAGTAGATCCATCGTCATCAGAATTCGCTTCCCAAGCTACAGTCTTCTCAGCCATCGGAGAAAATGTGGTCGAAAACGCGTTCGCCGGCTACAATGCCTGTATCTTCGCATACGGTCAGACTGGCAGTGGTAAGAGCTACACAATGATGGGTACTCCAACCGACCCCGGACTGATCCCAAGACTTTGTGACCGCATTTTCGAGAAGATTCAAGAAAAAACGGATCTGATGACCAGCTTCAAGATCGAAGTCTCATATATGGAGATCTACAATGAGAAGGTGCACGACCTTCTTGACCCCAAGAACTCGAACCGACGACCATTGAAGGTTCGTGAGCATAAGGTGTTGGGGCCACTGGTCGATGGGTTAAGTGTTTTGGCGGTCGATTCCTTCGAACAGATCACGAGGTTGATGGATGAAGGCAACAAGTGCAGAACGGTGGCAGCTACGAATATGAATGCGGAAAGTTCTAGAAGTCACGCTGTATTCACGTTACAGATCACACAGACTATCACTGATGAAAGCAATTCGGTAGGTTTTAATGGGTCAAAAAGTTTGTAGAAGAAATGAAATTTTGGGGTGATAAAGGAGGGGAGTTTGGGGGCAATGGTAGGGCAAGGGTATAACAATGAAAGGGTGAAGAAAGGGAACGACAAAAGTAGGGCAGAGTTAAAGAACGGGTAGGGAAAGGCAAGTCTAGGGCAAGGCTATGGCAAAGATAGAGCAAGGGTAGGGCAAGGGTATAACAATGATAGGGCAAGGAGAGAGCAAAGATAGGGTAGGGTAGGGTAGGGTAGCGTAGGGTAGAGCAAAGATAAATTAGGGTGAGGCTTGGTACAGTAAGGTAGGGCAATACCAAATATTATCTATAAAATACCGTAGCAACCCCATCCATCTTCTTTACTATGTGTGTAATGTCAAAAATGTCACTTATTTTGCGAAATTTTGACGGAAAACCAAGCAACTTGTCATATATGTCAACTTCAATGACAAGATACGATAACTGTAATCATGTTTCGAAGTCAATTTTTTAGATTTTCGGGATTTATATTGCCTGAGGGGATGAAACGGTTTAAAAATTTTGTTTGAGTTGGTCAAAAAGTTCGTAGAATTGGTCAAAAATGACATTTTTTGGGTTTTTAATGGCTTTTCTAAAGACTGTTTGACCTGAAAATTTTTTATTTTTTAATTTTTACATTTTGGTACAATATAAAATGACATGCCCAAAAATTAAAACCGCCCCCCCCCCCTTAATATTATTTAATTTTAAAATTTCCAGTTTCACGGCGAAAAGGTGGCCAAGATCTCACTGGTAGATTTGGCCGGAAGTGAACGTGCTCAAAAGACAGGAGCGATGGGGAAACGTCTAGAAGAAGGTGGAAACATCAACAAGTCCCTCACCACCTTGGGCATGGTAATATCCGCCCTAGCCGAGCGGAACACCCAGAAGAAGGCCTTCGTACCGTACCGTGACTCCGTTCTAACCTGGCTTCTGAAGGACAATCTAGGTGGAAACTCGAAGACCGTAATGATTGCTACGGTCAGTCCGGCTGCTGATAACTACGAAGAGACGCTGAGCACGTTACGGTACGCTGATAGAGCCAAGAAGATTGTGAACCATGCTGTTGTTAATGAGGATCCGAATGCCAAAATTATCAGAGAATTGAGAGAAGAGGTGGAGACATTGAGGCTGCAGATCAATCACAATCAGGAACGACAGAATGTGAGGGTTTGCTATGGTTTTTCCATCCTACAGTACCATAATATACCCTAGTTTATCCTATCGTACTCTTTTGCCGTACCCTACCCTTCCCTACCCTACCCTACCCTACCCTATCATACCCAACCCTACCATACCCAACTCTACCCTACCATACCATAAACTACCGTACCCTATCCTACCCTTATATAATGTCTACTGAAACCTAATCCTCAACCTACAGTACCATAAAGTACCCTGCTTTATCTTATCTTTCGCTGCCCTAGCTGCACCCTGCCTTAAAACCTAGGTTGCCTTACTCACTCAGCCCTTGCTTTATGCCCATTTAAACACTTTCCTTCTCTCGGTCCCCCTGTCCCCACCTCTCCCCAAGATACACCTAAATTACCACAAATTTCTTTCAGGAAGCCGCCGAACTCAGAGAACGTTTAGCCGAATCGGAACGACTGGTCGAAATGATGAATAAGAGTTGGGAAGACCGATTGAAAGAGACCGAAGTGCTACGTCAAGAGAGGATGAAAGACTTTGCTGAAATCGGAATCAGTGTAGCTGATGCTGGCATTAAAGTAGAGAAAGACCGATTCTACCTGGTTAATTTGAACGCTGACCCATCGTTGAATGAGCTACTGGTCTACTATATTAATGTAGGTCCGAAATTTTGTTTAAAAAAATTTTTGATTTTTTAGAATTTTTGGGTCAAGTGTTACCTTTTGAACTTTAGGCTAAAAATGAAATTTTAAAAAAATTAAAACTTTTATCATAGGTAGTAAAAAAGACATAATTTTACATTTTTCAGCAAGAAGCCGTGATAGGAAGCGCCGAATCCACGGATTCTGAGCTTAAAGTGGACTTTCTACTACAAGGTCTAGGTATCAACCCGCATCACGCCTTGTTAGAGATTGTTAATGAAGATGACAAGCCGAAACTCTACATTGAACTACTGGCAGAGACCTCTAGGTATGTTTTGGTTTTGCAATTTTAATTTTTTTCGTATTTAGGCCTAAAAACTTTAGAAATTAGCATATTTTTTGAAATTTTGGTTAAAAATTGGGGAAAAAGCGGGGTTTTTTGTATTTTTTGGCCCTTTTTTCTTATTTAAATGATGTTATTGTACATTTTTCGATTTCTAATAATTTTATTGTACACTTCTTACTATTTCCAGAGTCTGTGTGAATGGTACCGTAGTAGAACCGAAGCAAAAAGTTGGTCTGAAGAACGGCGACCGCCTTCTGATTGGCTACAATCACTTTTTCCGCGTCAATTGCCCACGAGACCCGGATGAAAGCAACACATCTCAAATGAGTACCTCAATGTGCTCAAACAATGTGGATTACAATCGGGCATGGCTTGAAGCCAACAGTGAAGCCACGAACTTGAATCCGATCAGCAGTGCTGTAGATCAGTATATTGAGCATATTGCTATTAAGCATGAGGAGGAGAAGCAGGCGGCGTTGGAGAAGCAGTACGAAGAGTTTGAGCGATACCTACAAGGATTGGGACATAGGTAAGGGTGGAGGAGTTGAAATTTTAAATTTTTTAAAAATTGAAAATTTTGTGAAAAAATTAAATTTTGAAATTTTTCGAAAAATTTTAAAATTAAAAAAAATTGAATTTTCAGAATCTCAAAATTTTTCAGTTAAAAAAATCGAAAAAATCATGTTTCAGCCTGGCCACCCCCTCCACGCCGATGACTCCGGCCATACCCTACCTGCCCACGCCCAGCGCCACTCTACCCCCAATCCTCTTCCCAGGCACGAATCGAAATGACAAAACCCAATTTCTAAACTGGGCTAATCGACGAGAAGAGTTATTGAAAGAAAGTCTTTGCCAGTTAAAGACTGACATTGTCAGATCGAATGCATTGGTACGAGAGGCCAACATGATCGCTGCTGAACTGTGGGGAGAACGACGCGGATTGGCACATTATGATGTGACCCTGCAGATTCCGGCTGGAAATCTGAGGCCTAGCAAGATTAAGGTGGGGTTTTAGATTTTTTGAAGTTTTTAAACTTTAAAAATTTTAAAAATTCAAATTTTCATTAAAAACTCAAAATTTCAACAAAAAAATCATTTTAAAAATTATCGACCGGTCGTACCAAAAACAACTGATTTAAGACCGGCAACACCGTGTGTGAACCAGTTATCGTGGTGAAACGCTACGGAATGAGTGGATATCACCTGTGGACTCCAGAACAACTCGAGAACAAACTGATTGACATGAGAGAGATGTACAACGAGCGAAGGCTGCTGGGCAGTGAAATTCACGAAAACTGTGAAGCCTCATGCTCGTCCTCATCCGGAGTTGTGAGTGGAGAAGAAGGCACGGAAAACGAAAGTCAACCTGGCCTGGTGGATTCATTGTTTGAAAGTCAGGTAGGAGAGGTTTATAAACGTTGTTGTAATAATAAAATAAGACAGAATTTTAAAATTTTTGAAAATTAAAGGTAGAAGGTTTTTGGCTAGGTGACTTGGTCATGTTGATCATATTTGTCATCAAAATTTAGTTGAGTACCATCAAAGTTAGTCAAGACATAAGAAACGGCCAAATCTACCATAAAATTTTTCATTTTGCCATAACTTTTTTCAACAAAAACCTAAAACCACAAAAATTTGTGAAATTATAGCCTATTCCTATAAGTAACTAACACTTTTTAAAAAATTTAAAATTTCGCAAAACTTTAAATGTTACAGTAATTTAACAGCGACCCCCTTAAAACCTCAATTTAACCAATTTTTTCAGGAAAAGCACAGCCTAATAGGAGTCGCCAACGTCTTCCTTGGAGTACTATTCCACGATCTCAAGTTGGACTACCCTGTTACAATCATAAGTCAACAAGGAGAAGCTTGTGGCAAGCTTTTAGTCGAGGTTTACCGTGTTCCAGAGTGCATAACAGAAGATACGATCGAAAACGCAGTAAACCTTCGTATGGGACAAAGCCCAAATTGTTTGTTGGGTCAGACTATCAAATGCAGAGTAAGATATAGTATTTTAGTTAGATTACAACATATTTTAAAGTATCGAATACTAAAAAAGAAGAATTCAAAATTTAAACATTAGTTATGGGCAATGATAATATAAAGTGACAAAACATCTCTTGAAGATTTAAAATTACGAAGTCTGACATCATAAAAAGATAAATCATCTTATAATCCATGTTTTCACAAATTTTGGGATCATTTGGCTCTGAATTTCAAAGTTATGGGACCTTATAGTAGGTGTTCCCCTATAAGCCTCTGTACCTCCTCACTTGGTGGTCTCAATCAAGTGAAAGTTTACGAACATACATACCGAAACATTCTTATTACCTTTTAAACAATTTTACGTACGAACATGGGAAAAACGTATTTTACCTTTCAGATTCGAATCAAAAAAGCCATCAACCTGCCTCCGGAGCTGTCTCACTGCGTCTTCTGCCAATATTCCTTCTTCAATGTGTCGGAAATGCTGGTAGTTGCTCCAAAAGTGATTGAAGATCCTAAAAATAAGAATAAACTGCCAAATACTTTTGTTTTTGACTATGAAAAGGTAAGTTATTGTAAAGTTTCGGCCGAAAGTCAAGGAAATGAATAATTTTGAGCCAACTTTTCCTTTTTTGCAGCGACATTTCGGGCCAACTGTTTCTTTACATAGCTTTCGGCCAGTTTTGATAGTTTTTTGTGCTAATCAGTAGATTTTTAAATAGTAAATGGATTTTAAACTATTTTTGAATATCTTTCTTCTATAACTTACATAAAAGTTTTTATTCCAGGACTTTTACGTGACGATAACCGAAGAATTCCTTGAGTATGTCCAAGAAGATGCGTTATCAATCGAAATCTGGGGCCACAGGACAAGTGGCTTGGATGATGCGGAAGAATCTACTGATCTAGGAATCTCAGTAACATCATTACCGAATGATACGGCAACTGTAATGGCACAAAAACAGAAAAGTTTAGAAGAAAGATGGGCCGAAGTGACAAGAAGGATCGAGCTGTGGATTGACGTCAAGGAACTGAATGATAATGGAGAATTCAACTCGGTTGATGTGTTTGATGAAGGAGAAGACCCTACTGGAGGGATTTATCAACTCAAACAGGTAATAATTAGGGTTTTTGAATGTGATTTTAAGATAAAATGGCAGATTTGCGTTTTTTCGCTGAAAGTTGTAGTTGGTCAAATGTAAAGTTAATTTTTTGATGTTTGTGGTTCTTGAAATCGAAGGAAAATTTGTGAAAATAGATGAAAGTGTTGAGGTTGATATTACCAAAACGGTTAGATATAAAAATTTAAATTTCAGGGACAACAACGCCGTCTATCAGTCCGTCTACGTCAATCAACGGAAAAAGGTGGTCTGCCTTTGGTATTCTCTGACATTTCCACGGTAGCTGTCGGCTCTTTAGTTCTCCGTGATCCGTATTGTCAATGTGAAGAACGTCCACTCGATTCCTATCAAGAAGAAGGTCTAGATCAGATTCGAGATCAATGGACTCGAGCTCTAGATGATCGTCAAAAGTATTTGAGCGAACAAATCAAGAAAATTGAAGCTTTGGGTAATCAAAAGTCGTTGGCTGATAGTGAAAGAGAATCTTCACTGATAAATCAATGGATGTTGTTGACAGAGGAGAGGCAAGCGGTTAGTGTACCACCTCCAAATTCGAGTATACCTGGAGCGACGGCTGATTGGATACCTCCGCCAGGTATTGAGCAACATGTGCCAGTTGTGTTTTTGAATTTAACGCCAGATGAGTTTGATAACGAAGAGGCGGAAGCTGAGGGAATTGGTCCAAAAGTCGCGGGATTGAGTGCAACATTGGCTATGGAGAAGTTTGATCAGATGGTTTTGTTACCAGTAGTGGAGAAGGACCCACACGAAGTAGGTTTTTGAAGCTTTTATAGTATTTCTTTGAATAATATGTATTTGTACTGTACTGTTGATACTATACTTTAGTACCTCCTTCTAACCGCAATATATTTTAGATGTCAGTAACCTGTGCTTGGGACAGCTCTCTACATCAAGATCAGCTGTTGAATAGAGTTTCTCAGAACAACGAACTTACCTATGGTGTAGTTCGTGTAGCCGTGCGTCTATCCTACCCATTCAACGCCGAGCTGGTCATCAGGAAGCGAATCTGCCTCAACGTGTATAAGAAAACAAGTCTAAAGGATAGGTTGATGAAGAAGATTGGCGTCCAAGGCACGGTGAATGGCACAGGAGTGTACTACGACATTGTGGCACACGTGCCCAAGAGCTCGTTGGACATGGAGGACCGGGCCAGCTTGGCCATGATGGCGGCCAGACACTCGGACGAAGTAAAAACAACCATAAATGGGCAATGTGCATATGTTGAGGCATATACGAAGAGCATACAGGCAGTGGAGTGGATGTTGAAGTTGGACAGGTTGAGACAGGAGAGTGCAGTCGCGAACTCGCTTGGAAAGGCGGAGAGGAAGAAGTATCAGGCCACGAGCTTCAGGATGAAAAGGACTGTTTCTTTGCCTTCTACTATATCTAACGTGAGTTTGTGAACTAGGAAAATGTATTTTATGACATTTTTTATTAGAAATGAGGGTTTTATGACATTTTTCATAACAAGTCGCATTTAAAAATTAAAAAAAATAATTTTCAGATGGCTCTACCTCCAATAGCACCGAAACAGCCGCTAGATAACACCGTAATCCTGCAGAACCAAGAAAACAACAACTCGACTACTGTACATAACAAACTGATGGAGGTATCGACCTCCAGTTCTTCGTCTGGATACTCATCTATGGGTACGGTATTTTTTAATAGTTTTAAATGGATTACTGTACTTTCAAAGGGATTCTCTCACTGTTTGTTGAGAGGGGGCTTAAAATTATTTGAACCACCTAGTAGATACAGTAAAACCCTTAAAGTACAGTAATTCAAATTTCGAAACTAGAGATTGTTACGGTAGCTTACTGTAGGCATTTCTTTTGTATACTATAAAATCAGTTTTTTTTTCGTTTTTCGCGGCTACAGTAACCTTTATTCTGTACTTTCACTAATTTTCCGTTTGCTTTTTATTCTATTTTTTAAAAACTTACTTCTGGTTGTACTCGGCTTGGTATTCTTACTAGATAGCACTGTCAATATGTATGGAGGAAAAATGGTACTATATAGTACTATTGTGAACTTTGGTACTATATAGTATTAAGGGCGATACGTGAGATATATAAGGAGGTATAACACTTCGAAGTGGCTTAAATGAGGCTTCGGTACTATATAGTACTAAATAAATGACGGTTTGGTACTGTATAGTACTATAAAAAAATATAGTTTGCTTGTACTATGCTAGCACTAACACTATTTAAGTATCTTAGAACACTAATATTGATAAAGTAGTATATAGTACCAACACTATTTAAATACTACATAGTACCATACTATTCAATTACTATATAGCACGAACGCCAAGCCCAGTACGACAAAAATCTATAATTTTTTCAAAACTTAACACAGTACTAACTCGGTTTTCTCCATTTTTACAGCACGTCCGACGTTTTTGAACCTCAAAACCACAAAGCGTTTTCCTCAAAGTAAACTGACTTTTTTACTCTGTAACTTTTCGTAAGGCAGTGTTGTGGTGTGCTACTGTGATGTGTGTTGTTGGGGTGGCTCGAGTGACTGTTACTGTAGTTTTTGCGCATAAACAGGTTATTAGTTTAAGTACTAGTGGAACTATTAGGTTGTTCAAATAATTTTGAGCCCTTCTCAAAGAAAATCTGTTAGCACAGAAATTTAAAAAAATCTTCGAGGGGGCCCAGGATTTTTTGAACAACCTATTATTTTTGGAACCGTTAGTACTGTTAAGGGTATAAGCGATGTGGTTTTTTTGGGACTGGTATTACTGTTTTGGTACTAATGATAGTTTTTATGCTGAATATTACTATTTACAGCTTTATTAAACAATTTTAGCAATATTAGTACTGTTTTTGCATAAATATGGAAGTTTGTACTTTTAGCACTCTTTTGAGTATTAATGAGCATGTTTTGTAATCGTACTATTTTCAGTACCAAGAAAGCTTTTTAATAGTAAAAACAGGGGCGTCAGACCCAAAAAAAAATTTTCGTCCACAGCGACGCCCCTGAGTAAAAATACTGTAATCTCTAAATAAAGTACTATTAAAAGCACCATTTGACATCGATATTTGACACGATTGTCCCAACTCTATTAGTGTTTGGTTCCTTTTTCTGTTCATTTTTGGCTTGTTTTGTGGTTTATATGGCTTATGTGAAAGTTTATATGGCTTTACTTGAAGATACTTGAGGAAAAATAATTTTTAAAAATTTCAGTGAACTCGCTAGTCTCCCCGATCGCTGAACCAACCTCAAAACTCTGTGGAATCGACGAGGAAAACCATTTGGAAGTGAGTTTTTGAAGGTTTAATATTAGGTTTTGTTCAAATAATTATGTGCTCTCTCGAAGAAAACTTTTGAGGATAGGGGCACAGAATTATTTGAACGACATAATAGGCGGTTTTGATTGATGGAACGAAAGTTTTTGTCGTTTTTTTGCCTTGTCAACATTTTTTGTACTTTAATTTTTTTTGGACTCTGTAAAGAAAGTTGTTGCGCTTTTGATTTTTTTTTAATTTTGCCAAATTACCCCATTTTTGAACTGAAAACGTTTTTTTTGAATATGCCATTTTGAAATTAACATTTCTAAAAAATTTTAAACTTTCAGGATCTGGTAATGCCGTGCCGCTCCTCCACCGTGCCCGAACAACTGTGCCTGAACGAGCCGAACGGCAACCTCGCCTCGGACCCCCTAACCTGCACCAACCACCTCTTCCAGCTCAAACCCCAAACCAATAACAACAACGAGTCCGCCTGCTGATCTTACCTACAACGATCTCCACACCGGTGCTTTACATTGACTGTAAATAAACAAACTAATACGGGCTTAAATTGTAATTTTGACAGATAGTTAATAAACTTGTATTCTTTCTTTAATCTATGGTATTATAATATATTAAAAGTTTGAAAACCGAATTCAGTTTAGGGTTTTTGGTCTAAAAACTGGCCATAGCCTTTTTGCCAGGTTTATAGTTCAGAACTCGGAAATCGATGAGATCAGCCATTTTTCAGAAAGTCACGTCTTTTATAGAGCTGGCTTATTCAAATTTAAAAAAGTGCAAAATATTATCTAAAATTTTTTTTTAAATCGAAAAAATTTATTCAAATTTCGGAAATTTAAAAAAAAATTTTCAAAATTCATCAAATTGTTCGATTTTCATATGTAAAAATTGCTTTACGAAAACTTTTGTTATAGAGCCTTATCCTAGACCTGCTCGAGCAGGACTTTATACAAGTGTTACACTGTATCACAAGTTTCGTGTTATAACAGCATAAAAACCTAAAAACCTCTATGTTCACGTTGGATCGACTTTATATACCAAAACTAAGTTAAAATTCTATTGTATAGACACGGTTTTCATAAATTACGATTAGAAAAGGTAGGGAAAGGCACAAAAAGTGGTCAAAAGTTGCAAAGTTCCTATGACAATATACAGTAACCGGATTTACAGACTTTATACAAACATACGATTGGGGAGAAAAGATACAATAATATGAGAAAAAATACCATAACATGACAAAAGCATAGTATAATATGACAAAAAATTACCATAATATAAAAAAAGACATACAAAAATATAAAAATATACAATAATATAATAGACATACATCACAGTAATGGTAGCTCTTCGTTACCATATCACAATAATAAACATATACCACCAATATGGTCCTAATTATGCTATATGTACCAAAAAAAGGTAGGTAAAAATCCATTAATTCTTTCGCATTTTTATGCAGTTTCCAAAATTTCCAAAAAAAATTTTTAAAAAACGAAAAAATTAATGGATCTTTTTTATATTACCTTTCTTATAATTCTTATATGGTACTAAAACTTTAAATCTCTTGCTGTCAAAAGTTTTTAAACTAAAACATATCAAAGTAACTTTAAAGTTACTGTGCACACTGTGCTATTAGTATTATCACATTTTTTATCATATATGGATTGTCATTTTACCCTAATACAATCACCGTAACTGATAGAGAAATAAAACGGTACTATTCTAGATACCATGCTCATAGTACCATTTTTAGTACTACTTATACTCATAGTGCCTAAAAAGCCTACTATGTGTTCGTAGTACCATTTCTAGCCAGTATGTGCTCGCAATACTAATTCAAGTATTAATTATACTCATAGTGTCATTTAAGACCCTACACACACTCATAGTACCAAATTAAGCATTCCATGCATTCTTAGTACCACTTCAAGATTATTATGTACTCTAGTACCAGTGCAAGCCTATTACGTACTCGTGGTATCATGGTCCCACTTATATTCATAGTAAAGAAGCCACAAATCACCATGTTACCATTTTAGGCTAATATGTATTTGCAGTACCATTTCAATAGCAAAGTTGCCTTTAAGTACTATGTTCTTGATTAGTACCCACTATCCTATCCACAGTACAAAATAACTTTACAATAAATACAGTAATATTTACAGGTTCCGAATCACAAGCTAGCTACTATCACAGTAATCACCGTAGTCGACATTACAGTAACCCATTTCGACTGTACTACACTATATACAGACTGATGGTTTAGAAGATGCCGTTAGTGTAATATTGAAAGTTGTCGTATAACCTGGTTGTGAGCGAGTCCCTCGACTGTTCGACCAGCTGATTCACCATCTGGCGGAGTTGTTGTTCCGTGTAGCCCAAGTGAAATCGTTCACGCAAGAGCCGTAGCACGTTGGGCCCGCCTCGGAAGCAGGGCAGTTGGGAACCTATAACAATATAAAGTTTTACCCTTCTAAAGCAATTTTTAAGAGTGAAAAAACACAGAATTATTTGAATGCTCTAATATTACACCTTTTAACAACCTTTCACTTAAAAATTTTTTTCATTTCAAATCTCCAAAAACCCACCAGAGCTCATGACCTCGACAATGTTGATGATTCGCTCCGAGTGTTTCCTCGCCGCCACCATCCCATTGAAGATCAGCTGTTTGTAGACCGCGAACATGTCCGAGTTCGGTCCTCCCATCACGTCGATCAGTTCTTGGGTCAGCTTGAATGGTGACGTCTCGAAACCGAGGTTTTTGGGAGAAATCGACAGGATGTAACCAAAATCAATGTGAATCAAGTGGCCTTCCGAATCCAGCAGGATGTTGCCATTGTGACGGTCTTTTACCTAAAATACGGAAAATTAGAGTTTAGCGTTGATTTGAAATTTATCTTCAATTTTAAAATCTTGTTACCTAAAAACTTTTTCATATTTTTTTCAAATTTTAAATTTTTTTTTCAAATTCCAAAAAAAATATTATCTCAAAACACTCCCCCCCCCCTCACCCTTACCTGTAAAAAGTAGCAAGCCAGCGAATAAGCGGCACAGCTCTTGACAAAGTTCTGTTGTGCTTGTTGGAAACTCTCGCTTAATCTGGACCCGTAGTTGATCAGAAAGTGAGATAGTAGGGTTGGTGAGTAGGGTTGAGCAGCGTCGTCTAACGACGGTTTTGATGACAGGTTCTTTTTGATTTGATGTAGAGAGCAAGCGTTTGGGATTGGCTCGATCATGCCTGAGTCTGATGAACAGACCAGGATTTTGTAGGGTCGTAGGTAGAGAGGGACGTTTTCGTCGCGCCAAATGTTCTGAAATGTAAAATTTTTAAAAGTTATACAACTTCAAAACTTGCCCAACCTTAATCTATCCTACCTTATACTGCACTACAATACTCTACCCTACTCTGTCCCACTGTAGCTGACTCTACCATACACTATTATACCATACTCTACTATACCCCACTCTACCATGCTCTACCCTATTCTACTCTACCATATTCTAACCTAATCAACCATATCCTATCCTTCTATGTCCTACTCCACTATACCATACTATACCTTATTCTAATTTACTCTATTCAAAGATCCAAAAAACTGTCCATACCTGTAAAGTGGTCAATAGTTGATAAGCCAACAACTCTTGTCTCAAATCATCTCCCGTTTTTATGATTACCGGTACTAGCTTCCAGCCTTCCAACTCTCCGTATGGTGAAGATTGTCGTATCCGAGCTTGTTTCTCTTCCCATGGTTCGCTCATTGCCGAGGCGGACGGGTCATCTGGGCTGTGGGCTATCTTAAAAATGAATAAGATTAAGTTAGGTAAGCTGAAGTAGAGTGTAATATAATAAAGTGAAGTAGAGTGAGATAGGTAGATTAGAATAAGGCAGACTGGAGTAGTATGGCAGACAGGGACGTCGTTTGGGGGGGGTGGTTCGGGGTGACTCCCCTCCCCCCCCAGAGCCGATCCGAAAAAAAATCCACAGGTAGGTGGTACCTGTACGTAAAAAAACAAAAAAAAATTTTCGAAAAATCGGTCCACAGGTACCTGTGGACCAAAAAAATTTTTTTGGGCCTCCCCCCCAGAGAAAAAACCGTAGCGACGTCCCTGATGGCAGAGTATAGTAAGGTAGATTAAGGTAAAGTAAAGTATGATAAGGTAGAGTAGACAGGACAAGGTAAAACTAGGGCAGAATACATGAATATAAGTTAAATCAAGTTAAAGCATCATAGTGTAGACATCGTTAACATACGACAAAAATACAAAATTCCAAAATTTTTAATAAACCCTACCCTCTGACGTCGCCTCCTCTTGAGTGCTGCCAGTCGATTTCGTATTTTTTCGAATTTCGACTGGGGTTCTTCGCGAAATTCGGCGTCGGCCGACCATTGTGAGGACAAGTCGTCCGAGTCCGCCACTGATAAGGTTTCGTCGATGATTCGGTCAAATTGCGTTAGCTAAAACATTCTTCATTAAGCTATAAAAAACACAAAAATAGGAGACCGTATTTTACAAATTTTTAAAATTTTAATTTTTTTGCACCGTGCAAAGACTTTTTTTTTAATTTAAAATTTTAAAAATAACTTTTTTCGAAACTTTAGCTCAAACTTTAAAAAAATAAAATGCCATTTCAACCCACCACATCATCATCACGACTAGGTTCCGGCTCTGTTATCGTAGGTGCGACCATCTGAACAACTGGTGATTGGATGTTAAGTGCATCGACTGGTTTTTCGGCTCGAGCACAGGCCGCTTCTTCCACTGGACTTAGAGTTGGTAAAGCAAAAGTGTTAGCCAAGTGAGCATTGTTCGGAGAGCCGATATTGTACATGGAGCTTGACGAATTCGAACGCATTGTCTTGTGGAACTAAAATTTTGGGTTTTGTTTAATAAAGAATGGCATAAAATTTAATTTTTTCAATTTTTAAAAATTTTAAATTTCAAATTTTTTTTCATTTTTCAAAACTTCAAATTTCAAAAAAATTTAACTCAAAAATTTTTAAAATCTACCCCTTACCTCCCCCTCCAGCTCCACCTTCTTCTCGGGTAGCCTTGCCGTTTCGAAGTTGTCCACCTCGACCACCTCGCAGTAAATACAGTACGGTGCTTTGTCTTTACTGTTCAAGACACACCCCTCTGCGTACGGTATTCGTACCATGACATGTTGAGTGTCATATATAGGTAGCCATACTTTGGCTGGTAGGTTTAGATTCAGGAGGAAAAGTTCGTATACTAGTCGTTTCGATTTGTCTTCTTTTATCGGAATGTCCTTCAGCCGGTTGCCAATAGCGATCAGGGAATCGACAAACGCCAGCTCTGGACGGGTTTTTTGATCGGCCTGAAATTGAGGATGTCATAAAATGTTTATTTAATAATTTTTAAGTTGAGCTTTACGAAGTCAATAGTATACTCTCCTACCCTACCCAACCCTAACCTATCCTATCATACTCTTCTCCAACATACACTTCGCTGCTAAATTCTGCCCTTCCCTACCCTATCCCTACTGTATAGTACTCATTGCCTACCCTACCATGCGTAATCCTAACATTAAACCATTCCATTTATAAACTTACCCCGCAAGAACAAGTGATATTCGATATGGAAGCGCTCGAATTGAATATACACCTACATTTGTTATCAAACGCTCGACCTAAAAGAAAACATCAAAAATAAAAAAAACTTTTAAAACCAAAAAATATGGCAAAGCTTTTACAACCCTAAAATATTTAAAAAATAACCAAAATCCTTAAAAAATTTAAAAAATAACCTGAAAATAAAAAAAATAAAAATTTTAAGTTTCAAACCCTACCACTGCTCAAATCCGCCATCGCTGAGCCTTGATACATGCTTCTGACGCTTCGTGTGCTCTCCGTCCTCCTCATATGGCATCCGTCTTCAGTTTGATCAAAGAATTGAGGTTCTTCTATCAAAACTGGTGATGGTTCTTCTGATAACCCTAAAATCAGTTTTTATATAACCCTTCAGCATTAAAAAATTTCAAAAAACCTATAATAATCTGACAAAAAACATTACTCTACTACCTTTTTCACCAAGCTGCGATTCTAATATCTTTAAAAACCAATTAACAAGCCCTATTTTAGCCATAAAACCAAAATAGAAGTCCATATATTAAATCAAGCACCTCTTTAACTCAAAAAACCTACTCGCATCCGACTGCGACCGATGATGAAGAGCGGCCGAGGCTGCCGGCGTCTTTAGATTCTTCTGAATCTGATGGCTTTTCATATATTCATTTAGAATCGTCTCTCTCAAGAAGAAGCCTTGCGCCTTCTTATGGTGTGTTTTAAATTGTTCTACACCATACGCATCCAAAAGCCAAAAGCATTCTAGAGAAAACTCCATTGAAGATCTGCAACGTTCGATCATGTAGTTGTGAATGGCCGACGCGACGTGATTCATGTTGATATACATGGCGATTAGCTGTGGGATGAAGAAATCGACCTCGGCTGGAGGGAAGCGGTGCAGAATTCTGCCTGAAATGATGTTGTTGCAGGTTATAGGGCCATTTTAAAGAATGTAAATCAATCAGTGTTTAAAAGAGTAAAACAGCCAGAATTTAACCTTTCTCTCCACAAACACCTTAATCAACAATGATACTACCTAAAAACCAAGAAAAAAAGAAAAACCTTACCCAAATACATAACAACATCAATATTGTCGTTCTTGTACAAGTATTGCAGTGCAATTTCCATGTTGAAGTAGGTTGATTCGAATAGACGAATCAAACTTGAAGGTAAATTCTTGCTATTCTCTTCCTGAAACATGGTCATCAGAGGAGAATAAAATCGAATATCATGTGTTGAAAAGGGGTTTCTTTCAAACAAAATGAATAATAATGGCCATAAAAAGATTTTCGCAAAAAAACTACATAATTAAAACAATGTTATACAGTTTTTGAAGTTACGTGGTTGAAGAGTTTTGAAAATATTGTTTTAGATTAAAAATATCTTGTTATCAAAATTTAAATAATTTTTAACCATTTTTTTAATGTTTAGTAATAAAACCTCCTACTTTTCAAATCCTCATCAGAAAACCAGAATTTGATTGAATTTAGGTAACAAAACTTCCATTTTTCAAACTTAAAGTAAAATTTTAAAAACTTTTCAAATTTACGTAACAAAATCCTTACCAATCCCGAATCCACCCCATTTCCACGTTGTTTTTGTAGCTCTTCGAACGATGTGTACGTTTCGTCCTCTTCATCGCCCTCAACATTGGCCGTGCCACTTTCCATCGTTCCCACACCACTCTCGGAGCCATTGGTACTACTTTGTCTTAAGATTTTGGTACCAAACTGAATTCCATCCTCATTCTCTTCTATGCTTTCATTCCTCTCTTCAGCCTTCTGTCCATTCTGTTCCCTCTGAGATTGGACAGAAGCTTTTCTCTGCCCGTCTCTCTTTTCCATACTATCTTTTCGCACCTTCTGCACCAGTTCAGTATGTTGTTGTATCGTGGAATTCTGAATGAAAACCGCATCGTCAGTGTTGATTCGAAGTTGTTTGAAGGCTTTCACGTCGGATATTAAGATTTCTTCGGGATCAGTTGCTACTAAATGACCATCGGTACCATTAAGACTAGTTTTGCGTTCGGTTGCGGTACTATAAGTGAAGCTGGAAATGTTTGAATGACCGTCGCTTATTGTCGTAGCCAAGAGGTTGATTTTGTTAGTGCTGGTTGAGTTTTCAGTGGCATTTTGGGTCCTTGTTGAGTTTTTGGTACTACTTGAATACTCAGTGCCAGTTGATTTTTTAGGACCAGTTTGATTTTTGGCCCGGCTTTCATTTCCAGAACTACTTTCTTGTTTGGTACCGTTATCATTTTTAGTAAAATCTGAAGTTCCAGCACCAAATCCTTCTTGTGCACCAGATCCACGTCTCAAATTATGAATACCACTCACATTCTTAGTACCATTCTTATTTTTAGTTCCACCAGCACCATTCCTGCCCCCATCTTCGAACTCAGTTGAAGTACCATTGTGTTTGGTACTGTTAGTCCCGTTTCTAACTTGATATTCACTTATCTTGGCAGCAGCTTCCACCTGCTCTTCGATGGTCCCATCCAGCCCTTCCGACGGCATAAAGGCTTGTTCCGGCTCGGTGGTCGTGGTCGATTGATTCCGCGACGTGGATATGCTTTTAGCTCCTACTTCCGAGCTTTGTGAGTATCTTCGGTGTTGATCTGACTGAAATTTGATGATTTTTAATATTGTAAAATACGTTTATCTTATTTGAGCGTTTTTTCTACAAAAAACATTGTTTTTCAATAAAAACACCCAAAAAATCATTTTTAAAGATCAGAATATCATTAAAAACTTCATTTTCCCCCAAAAAACCAAAAAATTTTACCAAAATCAACCAATTTACAACACGAGTAACAACAAAATGAATCAAAAATCATATAAAAACCGGGTTGAAGTTGCAAAAACTTTTATTAAAATCGAAAAAATATTCGAAATTCCTTCAGCGAGTTCCAGACAAATCTTCTCTTTGATTTGTGTATTTGATAAGAGGAAAAGCGAAATTAGTCAGCTTTTAATAAAACACGACGTGGAAATGTTACTACTGCTTGTTGCAAGAGGCTTTTGGTTAATTTCAAACTTTAAAATCCATAAAATTATCATAAACTTCTAGTTTTACATTAAATTCAAGCAACTTTGATTGATTGCATTACACTTTGATGTTTTTCATAACTTTTAAAGTATTTTACAACCACAAAATTAATTTAAAATGTCAAATAATTTATTTTAGAGCCTTCTAGACTAGCTGTCCATTTAAATCTATCAAAAACTGTGTTCTAAACAAAAAATTATATTATCTCCCTAAATTTATGCAAATTTTAGAAAAATTTAAATTTTTTATAATTTCCAACATATTTTAGTACCTTTTTAACTAATCTACAGCTTCATTACAATCTCAAAAAACTTTTACTTATCATTTAAACCTTGTGTTGCCCCTCCATCCCACTGTACCTTAACCCACCAAAAGTGCCCTATCTCAACATAGAAAGCCCAAAACAACTCGCAGACCATTAAAACCTTTAACCGTCCTTCACGTTTCCATTATACCTAAAAACAAAACAAAAAATCTAAAAATTACCCTTTCATCCTCCTTGAAGTCAGGTAGATATGTGTTATGCCCGTTGAAGCTGCCCGACGTGGAATGTAAATCAAATACATCGAGGATTGGTGTCGCTTTAGGACTTTCAGAATGATTCGTCACGATAAACCGATCATTTTTGATTGACAGCGGTTTTGAGGGCGAGTTCAGGTTATAGGTTCGCTCGAGATTACATCTGAAGATAAGGTCATATAATTTTAAGCATAAAAATGTTTTGGCATAACAGAATTTTGTAAAATTTTAAAATTATAAAGTAGACATACCACTCAAAGTGAATCCATTATAAATTTGACAAATTTTATTTTTTAAACAACTACATTGGTATTTTCTATTTTTGCACGGTGCAATTTTTTCAAATTTTATCCTGCACCGTGCAAACTCAAAATTACTGCCCCATTGCTATTTAAAAACACTTATTTATATTTCGCTTACTTTGGACATATCCCGGTACTAGAATGATTGCAATCCGTTGACGGAACTCGTCCAAACATTTACTTCAATACATAAAATTGTTGTAGTTGAGCGGCAGATGACTTTAAAACAAGCTGCTCTACTGTAGTATCTGCGTTATTTCTATCTAAACTGCATCGTACAGTTAATATAATTCATACTGTTCATTTTGACTATCTAAAAACGCGTTTAAACCGGAAAAAAATTTTAAAAAAATAAAAAATTGACTGCACCGTGCAATCAAGATTAATTCCTTTGCATCGTGCAGAATTTAAAAAACCTGCCATTTCTAATTAAAAACAAAATTTTATAAAATTCATCTCACAAACAATATATCAATCCCAACTCTAATCAAATTTTGAAAAAAGGGTTCAGAAAGTTTGTCGAGCAACGTCAAATATTTTTTTAAATAAACAAAAGATCCCTGCGGGCTTTTTGTGTGTGTGCAGACACCTTTATTATCTAATTGAAGAGCAACTGCTACACCCTCCTCGACGGGATTCGCAATACCCGTCTCAATGTTGCGGTCGTTAAACATGAAGGTCAATAAATTATATTATAGTAGGTAGTAATGATATTCTATAGTACAAAGTATAAAGTTTTATAATTGACATAGCTTTTCAAATGTTTTTTAAATATTTTTAAATCATTTTCAGACTGCTTGCTTAATAAAATATTGTTTTTCATTCACTCTTCGCACAGTGCAATCGCCGAGATAACTGCACGGTGCAACAATTTTAAAAATTTAACAATATAAATGTTACAATTTAATTTCGAGCAACTTTTTAGTAAAGATATATTCATTAACAAGTATTAAATCAATTACTATTCAAATTTTATAAGTATATGACAAACCTTTTAAAATAATTTAAAAACCAAATTTTTTGCACAGTGCAAAGTTAAGAAATCCGGTAGAAACAGTACCCCGTGGCAAACTTAATTAGTGTTACATTATAAAACCCAATACTAGCACAAAAAAGTATGGCAGAAAGTAAAACAAACATTACTTTAAGTTCATATATTATTCATCACCTTCAACAACATAAAAGAAGAGAAATCCTCTAATCCATTATAACTTTATCAAATATGACAATAACCTTTCAAACAGACTGAGAATTTTCTTTCAAACAATATTTTTAAACAAAAATTTTAAATAAACTATCGAAATTTTATTCAAAAAGCGAAAATATTGTAAAAATACCAAGATTTTGAACAACCAAACATCCCACAGCCAATATTATCTAGTACAATATTGTTGTTGTCCTAATCCCCTTATAAGCTCATGAGTAAAGAGTAATTTCGCGAGCCAAGTGTATGGAAACAAAAAAACCAAGTAAAAATGGCAGGCGAACAATAAAGAGTAAAAAGTCCCTAAATAAGACAAATTTTGGTGAAATAAGATAATTTGGCCACAAATTAAGGCCAAAACAAAGTCGAAAAGTGACAGATATTAAAGGAAAGATATTTTTTACCATATGAATCGTAAATTTAAAGTTTTTCAAAAGTCAAACGTAAGTTATAAAGAAAAATATAAAGGATGTCTAACTAAAACAATGTAATTAAACCGAAACATGAAAAATGTAAAAACTGGGTCCCGAACAGAAATAATATGTAAAAAACAAAATTTCCTATAATATAAGACCTTACATTAACTTCTTCCAAAGATCAAGATTCATTAACTACAAAAAACACCAAACTTATCCACCTAAACCAATATTATTTTATATTCCAATAGCCAAAAAACCCATTAAACCCAAAAATTCAACAATTCAAATGTATCCGGAGGTAACAAAAGTATTTGAATATGTTGAATCGATTCCATAATCGGATTTTACTCGAATGTTATTTTCGGTTTTACAGATTTCCGAAAAATAGAGAAAGACTTGACCATAGAAACGAAAATGAGTCAAGTCTCTCTTTTTCTGTTTTGTTAGTGAGAAAACTAAAACTGGACATTAGGGACGCACCGGGCCTGCCTGGGCGAAACTTTCGTTAGTTCTTGTTAAGTTCAATTGTTGTTAAAGTTTATGATAATAATATTTTTGTTATAAATTGTCAGTATAATTAGTAGTACCCATGGCTGATGTTAGACAAAGATTGATACAAAATTTATTCCCATCTATAATATGTATGTACAGTACGAAAGTAGACATAGTTATTAAGGTTCTTGTTTTATGGCTGGAGGTTGATGGCAAGGGGCGGTCAAGTCAGGCAAAGGGCCTTTGGCTCCGGTTATTGTAGATACTGTCGACATCATTGCGTGGATTCCAAAGTTGTGAGTCATCTGAAAGGAAAAATGTTATACTAACTCGTTCTTTACATAAAGCTGAAGCTTTTGTGAGGTTTCTATCCTAAAAGTTAAAACTACGAATGAATTAGTGGATTTTTTGTCTATCCACTACCGACCTTATCCATAAATCGATAGTACTTGAATTCAAGCTTGAATTACTTCTAAATACTAAAACACAAGAAAATCTTACCAAATTTGTATCCCAGAAAGATTGTTGTAATGGATCCGCATTCTGTGGAACATCTCCCGTCTTTTGGTACTCAAAGGTTCGGTCTTTCTCAAACGCTTGTAACGTTGTTCTCCCCATGACTTCGAACATCTTCTTAAAGGGCTCCAACGAGTTTCGTGTCGTTCCTTTGTTTTCCACGTCCTGTGACAGTGCTGCTTGGAACTGTTTGATGGTCTCTGTCAATTCGAATAAGTTGTTCTGGCATTGTGTCACCAATTCGTTGTGGAACGCCGGTTTATCAAATTTATCGTCCAGTATCGTGCCCAAATCACCGGCCAACGTTAGTGATTCTTCTTCGCAAAGAGCTGTGAAACAAGTGGCTTTGTTTTGAATACGTTTATTTGGGGCTACAGGCACACCGTGACGTTTGAGGATCGATCGAAGGCGGTTGGCGTGACGTTGGCCTTTGGCTCTGAAAAAGAGGTATATTACAGTACGTAAAACAAAAAAAGAAAATCTCATATTCATAAGCCTTTGAGATAGTACAAGTATTTTAAAAGTCCTAATAGTCTATTCCTAGTCGTTTCATGTATTCGTGGTGAGACCAAATTTAGTATAACAAGTTCAAATTGTAGCCAAGTTTAATAAAAAAAACAAAGGTTACCTTCTCAAAATAGCATTCAAGTAACTGATGTTCAAGTTTTCCGGTAAGTCCAATCGTCTGACGAGTTCATCCAACTTGACAACATATTGTTTATTCTCATTCAGAAGACCCATTCGACCTGCGATCAAGTGTTCGCCTGTTACCATCTCTTTGTCGTCTAAAATAACTAATATTTAATTTTACAACTTATATATTGATTATCTTCATCGATTTACCAATATATTGATCCTCGTCATCAACCTATGACTTGGGTTAAACAACAAAATTTAGTGGTTGTCTTTAAACTTGATACATAACAGACACTACTCATACTATAATAACCCAAACTCACCTTCATAATCAGCAGTATAGCTAGTCGGTGTGAGAGGCACAAGACTTTGTGGATACACTGTAGCCGATGCTCTTTCTGGAGAACTGTAGTAGCCAGAGGAGTCCGACTCCATCTTCAACGTATTCATATTCGGCGAACACAACGTGGAGTTATGACTAAATGACGAATTTGTGCTTGGCGTAGAGTTTAGACTGGAGTTTAAAGCTGAGCCAAAACCCGGGAATTGACTGGCCAACTGTGGGAAATTGTAGTAGGGATTCACCATCGACAAGGGATTGCTGTTCGAGTATTGAGGGAATTGGCCTTGGCTGTACATCGCCCAGTTAAAGTTCTCCATTGATTAGTGTGGTTAATTTACAGCTAAAATGATAAGTTTCAGTTAGTTTTACCTCGAAGAAATTCACTTCGAAGTGGCTTCAGAAGTGTAAAAACGCGGAAATGGTAGTAAACGGCTGAAAACTTTTGGACAACTTTAAAAAACAAAGAAAATCCCAAAATTTTCATCTAGAATACATTGAACATCAAGAACCCACAAAAATGTCTAAAATTTTTCAGGATAACCCAAAAATTATATTATCCATGGCGTTTTTGATCCCCTAACGCTAAACAAATAGAATTTTGTGCAGAGTTCAAAACAAATACAAGAAAAAGCCTTGAATTTTAATTTACAACTTTTGATACGTCATTAACATGCCCAACAACCTCAATATAACTCATAAAAGTTATATTATCCATCATCCATCAGCTCTCTAAACAAAACTAAAACTTATTGTTCGAGCTGATCACCAACCAATTCGAAACAACTTTAACACAATGGATAACATCCCCAACTCTTCTGGCCAAGCTACAACGCGTTGAGGCGGGTCAAGCAACACTTCAGCCACCTTTTTTCGAAAAACTCCCCTTAGCCATGATGCAAATTATTAACACACCCACCCCTAATTGTTTGACACAACTTTACCGCGAGCCAGCGTATGTTCAGGTCATGTTCTCCACTACTGTTCATCCAAAAATTCAAAAAACGAGCTACAACAACTGCGTTGTAACGTAAAAAGTGGATTATAACGATGTTATACATGTTTTTATAGGTGAAAACCAGACTTACAAGGCTGAATAAAGTTGATCAACAAGAAATACATTGTAAAAAGTGTAAAAAAACATCAACGAACGCATTGGCACATAAAATAAGGTGATGCTACTTCAGCTTTCAACGACATTTCTCGACTTTTTGACAATTTTACGTTTTTTTTTCTAAAAATCTCGTCGCGATGACAGAATATATAAAATCCGTCATCTATTCGCATTTTTTAAACAGATTGTGTTAAAACTGTTATAGAGAAATAACAAGTGCTGCTTGGAAAACAAAAAACTAAATTTTACGTTCAGTATCACTTAGAACTTTGAGGTTTATATTATAGTAGGCTATCAAGAAAAAAGCGAAGTCATATCTCAATTTGTAGCTATCAAATTGACCTAAATTTTTCAATATAAATTGACTAGGTCATCAGTGAATAGCATGTAAGATATAGACCTGTTTGGTCTTATAAATCTTGACTTACACATGTTTGAAATTGTCAAAAGCAAGAACACTGCACGGTGCAAAAGAAATCACTTGGTTATAAGATGAAATTGAATTTTCTTAACTATGAAGTTACTACTAGATAACTAAAAATATATTTAAAAAATACAACAAAACTTATTTTTAAAAAATTTCTAGAGTTAACCACCGTATCACTAAGTTTTACAGTAACAACGTGCATTTTCTGAAGCCATGACCATAAGTTAAGTTACATTTTCTTACAACAACAGTAATTCTCTGAGCTATAACCTAATAAATGCTTCTTTGCTTGAAAATTTAAATTTGACAAAGAAAGTGTGAACAAAGACCTTGATGTAATCCATGAGGATGGGCATGTTACCATCGCTTGGGCTCTTTCATCTCTTGCTTGATTAACGCTTGTTATGAGGTGTGTTAATACAAGCGTCTTATATTTGAATTGAAAAATGGTTTTTGATCTGCTTTAAGTTGTCCTGAATCTTCTTCTCAAAAAACTATAGATTTTACATACTTTTCGACCAAAAAGAAAGAAAAGTACGAAGTATATCAGAATTTTGTACTTTGTACTCTGATACATTAGTAAATACAAAAATAAAAGTAAAGACTTGTACCGTGGTAACATTAGTACAAAAGTAAAAGTAAAGCTTTACCTCAACAACTACGATACATGAAAGTGAAGCTTTATCACTATGTTACTACATCAAATATTACGTTACTAGAGTACAAATTACTCATAGACGATTTACTTTTAGTAGCTCTTAAAAAAGAAGCTATACTTAACAAACAATTTTGCATTGTAATGTATATTACATTATATAGCTGTAAGTTATATATAAGAAGCACAATTTTAAAGCCTACATTTTTTCAAAACCTCACGTTCTTCCTCTCCTTCAGCCTCATCTAGAATTAAACAATACAACATGTAAACCCAGAACCCACGTCAGTTTGAATAATATTATCCTTAAACTAGCCTCTCTGGCAAAACTTTTTTACTGTAAACTATGTTTGGATATGTAGCGGCTAACATTGTTTGGATATGTAGTGGCTAACACAATTTTATGTTTTACGACATCTAATAGTAGCTTATACGCAACTTCCACCCAATTATTTACATTCGCCTTAATCAGTTTACGATCCCTCGAACTGTCAAGAGCCCTTGCTGACAAGAAGGATCCTAAAGCTGGAATTAGGCAATAGCTAATCAGTTCTGATTACTTTCAATCACCCCTACCTACTTAACGCTCCATCCTAGCCTTAAAATGCCTTTAACTATTGTCTTCGCCTATTTTTGCCATACTTTCAAAAATGATACTATAATTCATACTGATATAAAAGATTGTACAATTTCTTAATGTCTTATTTTTCAAAATCATAGTAAATATACGTATACACTTACAATACAGTAATACTCGAATGAATCAGAGAATAAAAAGAGTTGACACGCAAAAAGGTGTTGTAAATTGTATCTTGTACATATTGAAATAGTAACTGTTACGAATTGAAGCTCACAATCACTATTTAAAACTATTTAAAACTTATTTAAAAAATAAACCTTATATCTAAATTTAATAGAAACAATCTAATCAAACGTAATTACTCAAATTTTCAAATAAAATGTAGCTCAATACTTCAAAAATTTCTACAACAAGCTCAAAACATGTCAATTTCAATTACAATTCAGTTACAACATGTAAATCCAGGTTGCACATCATTTAAATCATCAAATATTATCACACTGATAACATGAGACGTCTTTATACATTCTACTGGATGAAAAGTCTAATAAATAGAGAGAGATAGTTAAAAAGGTGAAGAAATCAGCTGGCTGAGTACGATCGTTGAGAGAACACCTTGACCAGAGAGTCCGCGCCGGCGGAGCCGATCAACGGCCGTGAGGGGTGAATGGCGACGGCCATCACCGACATGTCGTGCTTTTTGCGATGCGCAGCAATTTCCTAAAAAAGAGTCACAGTGTCAACAATACACTAATTTCCAAACATTTTAATGAAACTATTACCTAAATTATAGAAAATTAAAATTTTAGCCATTTTTTCATCAAAACCCACAATGCTTCGTATTTTACCCAAAAACCTTTTAATAATAACCCTCTACGTACCTGTATACATGTCTTTGACTCCATGTCCCACACTCTCAGCGATCCATCTTCACAGCCACTAAGCATGTATAGGCCATTCGGGTCTGCAGCTAGTGTTGAGATGCTCTCCACGTGTGATACCGCACTTCGCACCAGTTTTCCTAAAACAAAAAGTATTAAAACTCAAATTATATTATTTGACCAAATTGTTCAAAAAAGATTTGTTTTTCCAGCCTTCAAAATATCAAATTTTTATCAAATCTCCAAAATGGCATGTTTTTAAAACTTTAAAAAAACGATTAAACTCCCATCCGCTTACCAGTATGATTATCAAAGTAACGGATTTTCCTGTCTACACCAGCCATGATACTAACCGGCATAGTAGGATGACTAATAATCGAGTTGATTTCTCCAACCTCATCCTCGGGTAAGCTCAAATCAAAGTCCAAAATCTTTTGTCCCGTCTCCAAGTCCAACATGCACGCTGATTTACCAGTGTAGGCTGCCAAAAGTCGTTGTGTTTCGGTTGAAACCAGGTCCAGCGCTCTTGGCCGAGCATTAGCTGTTGGTGGGGCATATAACTTGAGTTGTGGATCTTCTTGGCCTTCTCCCTTGGCCAAACCAAGTTCCCATAGACGTATTGTTCCATCTGCTGAGCCACTGATCAGTCGGTTGGATGAAGAGTGGTAGACGACTGACCAAACTGGTTGAGTGTGACCTACCAATTTTTCGGCCAAAAAACGAGGGTCTAAAATTTGAAAACAGTTAATAAAAATAATTATAAGCTCAAAAAAATCTTTGAAAAATGCTGTTATTAATTTTTTTTTCTAAATCTAAAAGAAACCGCTATTTAGCAAATTTTCATACCTAAAACAAAATTTCATTTCCCTATTGAGCTAAAAATTAAAATTTATGTCTAAAAATTCCATTTTTGACTAAAAACTTAGCTAAGTAGTGTGTTACCTAAAACTCAATGAATTATACCTTACCGTATTGATCATAGATTGGTATATCAAACGGTGGCATTTCCCAGCAACAAATCACACCATCATATCCACCAGTGTAGAATGAATCTCCAGTTGAATTCATGTCCATGGATAAGATATGTCCTCTGAAAATTTAAAACATCAATCCACCCAACAAAAAAAATAAAAAAAATCACTAAAAACCACTATTCCATAACGTTCTCACTGTTCCAAATCAAAAATAGTACCCAAAAAAAAAATAAATCGACATACTTGTGACCTCTGAAAGTGTATCTCGGCTCAAGATCTACCACACCCATAACGGTTGTGTGAGATTGTTGCCCTTTCGTATCTTTGTCCGCCAAATTCCACATCTTGGCCGTGCCGTCTTCAGAAGCAGTGACTAAAACCGGTTCAAACGGATGGAACTTCATGGCTCGAACACTGTCAAGATGACTTCGCAGTGTGAAGGCGATACGCCATTGAATCGATGGAGAATCGTTGTTTAACTACAAAAATAAGACTGATATGATAACATTGATAGTTTACAACCAGAAGCTTATCCTACTATAACATAAAGACCATTAGAAACCTTATAGCAAGACTTTTAATGCCTTTTTAAAAAAAAGAGGCCATAACATCCAAAAACTAAAGTAAAAGCAACCACAACATACCTCAGTAACATCCTTGATGTTAATGTCCTCGTTCATCTCCAACAGCTTCTCTTTAGGTATGCAACTTTCATTTAGTTGGTGAAAAAACTGTTGTTCTTTAGTTTCCTGTTTATGTTCCTCATCTCGGCTAGCCTTTTCTTTCAGCTTCTTGAAGTAATCGTCTTTCATGGCTTCGATTCTGTTTGGATCAACGTTCCATTCCTCAGCTGACGGTCCATTCTTCTCTTCGTTCAAAAACTCAAATTCAATTGCGGTTACGGCTTCGGCATCCAAATTGCCTCCGGAGCCTTCTGAATCCGACGCATCGTCGTTATCATTAATGTTGTTGCTTCTTAAGAGATCCGCGGCTTCTAAGATAGCCTTCTCGGATTCTGTTAAAACTTTTCCTCTAGATTGACTTTCTTTGGAGCTAAAAATATTACTCGTTGTTTAAAAATCGTGAAGTATATTAAGTATAGTCTACTTCTTCACACAAAACGCTCAAACTAAGGTTTAAAATCAAAGTAATGATCTCACCCATCATTAAGAAAACCTTCATTGTTTCCAGGCACAATCCCCAGCAAATTTTTTACTCTAAAAGCTCGTACATCCAGAATCTTTTCAGAATATCCTATTTCATTTAGGTATTGCCTAAGCAACGACCTGGCTTGCTTATAGACTGGAGACGTTTGAGGATTGGGTATAACAGCATCGACTTCGATTGCTCCAAGTGGCTCGTCTTAAATAAAAAATTTAACAAATTTCTTTAAAACACGACACATTTAAAGTTATACAACTAAAACAATAAATATTATCACTTTTACTTTTAAAAACTTGTTTCTCAACTTTACGGGCTTTTATTATAATTTAAACAATACAAAAATCTCTCACCTGTCGGTTTAACCTCCTCATTTTCTTCATTGCCTTCTGTTTTAGCTTCGCTTGTTAGTCTAGCAACTTTTGCACTAAAAATTAATTTTATATACCATCAAACCAATCACATACCGTTCTTGTTTTAAACTGTACTCCAACATCTTAATACGTCTGACAAGATCACGCTTCAGCTCTTCTTGTCCTTTACGTTCTCCATTCAAAAAATTTACACGAGCCTAAACACAGAATAAACAATTTTATAACAATATTTACTTACAATTAGTTCAGTTCTCTCCATCTCCCATTGAGCTCTTTCGATTTCATACCTGTTCAACTCGCTTTGAAGAAAATGAAGCACAGAGTTAACTGTGAACGGTGGTCGATTTGACTGAAAAAAAAGTTTTATATGTTGCTGAGATAGTGGCTTACCTCTTCTTTCGGTCCATCTTCTCCATTTAGATCTATAACAAAAAGAAATCATTAAAAGTAAATAAGACACATTGACAACATAAACTATACATTAAAAAACAAGTTTTTACATAGAATAAACCATTGATCAAACAAAAAAGTAAAATATAAATAATTACCTTTCAACTCGGATGTTTGAGGAGAATTATCTTGGTCGAGCTGCATCGCCGATACCTGAAATCAACAAAACCATAACAACCATTAAAAACATGATAAAATCGGTAAAAAAACGCCAAAATTGCACTTAAAAACATAGTCCAACTTGTTCTAACTATCCACGAAAAAAGCCCGGCATCCACATTGCTTTTTCCCCCAAGTTTTCGGCTCCAAAAAAGATTAAACCCCTGCGGCCGCATATGACGCGTACTGCATTAAACCAATAACAAACCTCCATATTACCCACAAAATATTTTCATTCCCGGAATGCGGCTTTACAAAATTCTATTTACATTAATAATCTTCATCCAAAAATAATTGACATTTTAAACCAACCTCCAGAAAATCCGTCAGCTTGCTTGTAACAACTGCGTCCGGGCTTTGGCAAACTGCAAAAACAATTTTATACGATTTAATAAAATATGTAACGCAAATAGAAAACAAAAACATAAAATTGATTGAAAAATTTTAAAATTACTGTTCATATTAAAAAATTAATATGTTACAACTATTTTTAAGGTTATTAGAATATATATTGACATATACATCACACTTGAGTCCCAACACGATGACGAAGAATGCTAAATCGTTGGCTTTCCGTATTGTTTTTAATATTTGAGTGCCCGAATGGCCAGATGCCTTGGCCACATCCTAACAAAAGACTATTTTTTGACCAGGAAACTTCTTTAGTTTTGAATTTTTTAATAATTGAAATTGTTATATTTTCTTATGATTCATACTTTGTTTACGCATGTTTATGAGTAATATTATTATTGTTTTTTTGCGAAAATATTTTGTAAGGCTTTTGAGTGTTTCTTATCATTTCTGGTTTTAGACTTTACTGATTTGGTGGAGGAGTTATGGATTTGGGGCGAGCAGAGCGGATGAAAACAGTTCAACAAGTGATAAAAGATACTAAGAAACATGTTAGGAAGCTGCAGACACAAGATATTGTAAGTTTAATGTTTCTTCTATCTAGTTTCTTCATTTTTAGGTTATGAAATTTGAGTTTTGTTTGTGAAATGTAAAAATTTACACCAAAATTTTATGATCATTGATTTCACAGGTAGATTATTGATGATAACCTTTCACTTCCAAGCATACTGACTAAACAACGTAATATACTATTTTCAGATTTCGATAGTATGTATAACTACTATTCTTCCTATTGGTTATCTTATTCAAGTCAATTACATACTGAGTTTCTGGTTTGAGCTATTTTCCGACCAATGGTTTTTCCGAGTTGTTCCACTGACTTTGATCGCTTTTAATGCTTATCTAAACATAATTCAAATGGTGAGGGTGGGTCCAAATGGGCTGGACAATGAGCTACCGACCGTACAAAAGCCAGGGTTCCGGTTTTGTCATCAATGCCAGCTGAATTCGCCGATGAGAGCTTATCATTGTCCAAGTAAGTGGCTAGTGTAATATTATCTTATTTTTTTAGATAGTTCTTGTATTTGTAACTGGTTGAGTGTTTGGTAAAAGCTAAGGAAGAGTATTTCGAAGTTTTTAAGATTAGTAAAAGTTATATTTTTCAGCTTGTGACATCTGTATCCTCCGTCGCGATCATCACTGTTCATTTGGCGCCGTCTGTGTAGGTCACTTCAATCAACGTTACTTTGTAGCAGCTGTAGTCAATCTTTGGATCGTGTTAGCCGTTTGTGCTACGTGGAACTTTTCTTTTACTGCTGATGTGGTTTCACATGTTAAGTCAGTACCATCAATCTGGCAAATCATGATTCCTCATCTGGCCTTGATGATGGGTTACTTGACGTTCTACCAGTTTTTGACGGTGTTCTTCTTTGTTTCAACGGTGACAGCGTTAATGTTTGTGTCATATTTGATAGCAGCTCAACTTTTCTGCATCTACAGAGGACAGACGAGAATGGAGTACTTGTTGGTAAGGTTTTAAAGTGGTTTTTTGTTGATTTTAGGGGATTTTTATTGCATATTGGTTTACTTTTGGCCGTTTTAGACCGAATTTAGGCTGCTTTGAGCTAAACTTTAGGTCATTTCGAATAGAAAGTTAAAGTTTGAATACTTTTTGGTGCTGTGTTTGGTCATATTAATCTTTATCATCCACTATTACACTCTTTTTTCAGAACATCTACGCGTACAACCTCGGTTTCTGGGAGAATATGAATCAATGCCTAGGGAAACACTGGCTTCTGGCCATGGTCTCACCCATCTTCCCATCACCGTTGCCTTCAGATGGCATTAGTTTTAAGTGTTTTGACTCTGACGACATCTCGAAGTCTACAAAGTATCTCTGAATGTTACTACAGTAAAACTGACAACAATATTGTTTAGAATACGGTTTTTACGTGCTATTTTTTTTCTTAGAGCCTTTTTTGCATTGTTGATTGATTTGCAAGTTTTTTGATGATTTTTTGCGATTTTTAATTTTATTTTTGAAATTTTTCGATTGAAAACCGTATTTTTGAACATTTTTTGAGATGAAATCATTTTATCTACGCCTTACCTACTATAAACTGAAATGTAGTTGAGCTTTACATCAAATATCAGTTGTAAAATGGCAGTTTACAACGAGTAATGTACATATTATGTTTATATGCTGCTATGTTTAGGCTAAACAGTTGTAATAATCCTTGCAGGTGTTTTTTAAATCAAGTTTATATTGTTCAGCTTATGCTTAATTCAAACTTATATTTTACAGCTTCCAAAGTAATCGTTTTGTCATTTTTTGTAAATAAATGCTTCGATCACATCGTGTTTTGACCTATCAAAAACAGTCTCAAAGTCTATCAAGCTATCTTGATTACACTTTTATCAATTTTGTTTTTAATTTTTCGTCCGATTTGAAATGAAAATGATACTTTGAGTTGGAAAAGAAAGGGTTGGTTTTTAAACTTGAATTTTTGGTGGGTGGGGTAAAATTTTTAGGCGGAATAGGGCTTTAATGGACGTTTGTTAAGCTCAAAATTTGGCTAGGGCAGGGGGAGGTTTAAAAAAAATTAAAATTCACCGGTGGGCCAAGCCTGGTCTAGAATTTTTTTTGACCGTGCCGGTCTGGGCCCGTTTCTGACCGCTAGGTGGGGTGAAATTTTTTTTTTTGAATTGAACTTTTCTTGATATCAGTGTTAGTCTGTGGTTTGGCCAGGGCAGGGGCCAAATTTTTAAAATAAAATGCCGCAAAGAGCTTGGTTGTCCCAGACATATTCCTCAATTTCCATCCCTCCCCCTCCTCACCTTTTTGATTTGTTTTTAGCCCTCGAGACAGGTCCAAAAAGCCTCTCGAAACCCCCATTTAAACACGTTCTTCAATATTTGTTTTCTCAAATTTTTTCATTTATGACCCCTGTGGATGTCACGTAGATTTTTGTCAAATAGCGCAAATAATTCGAAGAATAAACAAAAATGTTTTTTTTCAAGTTTTCATACTGTTTATAAGACCACTTTCTAAAGGGTTACATGAGTTTTGGAAGCTTGGACTTTGGAAAAATTGAAAATTTTGGAATTTTAAGGCATTTTGACTGACTTTTTTGCCATAACTTTTTTTAAAATATAGTTGGGATAATATAAATTGGTCAGGTTATAGGTTATTTATTGTGTAATCTAACACAATGAAAAATTTTTTCAAATTTGTATTTTTTTAAAAAGTTACGGTAGTTTTACCGTACCCATATTGTTCCAATTTGATATAAAACATGCATTTTTGTGGATAAAAAGGAAAATTCACGTTGAAATCGAAGGAATCAATGTGAATTTTAAATTTTATGTAAAACGTCTATCAATTAGTAATCATTCTTGAATAGCTTTTCAATAAAGCATCGTAGGGTGAAAGAATAAATAGCTACTACAAGATGTTCACCTTTGGAAATTGATGTTACGGACCCCAGTTTTATGGATTTTACATCGTGTTTTGTAATTCTGAATACGATAGCCGTGCTCAGCTTATTTTACAGCTGATATTTCTAACTTTTGAAACTAAAAGGTTGACTCTCAGTATAAGAAATTGCAGTAAAATCACCCGCTAAGGGCTACTGTTGCTTATAGTGACAGCACTCTTAAGAGCTGATTTTTTTGCCACAATTAAACACCCTTAACATGTGATGATGCCTGTGGAAAGGAAAATTGCGTCAGGATAAAAAACCTCTATATTTCTGGCTTTTTGGCCTCGAAGGAACGACGGAACGGCCGTCCTTTTCGAACTCGCTTTTTCGGCATTCTTTTTCGATTTCCGTGTTTGCGGAACTGCACGTTTTCATGGGGGTTCGAATTCGGTTTTTGCGACAAAAATAAAAGTTTTGTGGCCAGAGATTAATTCGGACGTTGGGAGCGACCTTGCTTTACTTAAATTTCGGTTAAATTTGCCTTTTCGCAAATTAGGTATGGCCGGGGAAACGTTAAGTTTGGCTGTGAGGACAAAAATAAGGCTAAACTGAACGATATAAGAGGTGCTTCTGCTAAAGGGTAATCAAACTGAAGAGGACTTTAAGTTTTTCAAAGGTTTCAATTCATAATTTTGCGATAAAAACTAAATTTAGGCGGCAACAGGCAAAAAATCCTTGATTTACCTTGAACAAACTGGTTTTAACATAAAAGTTATATATAAACCTTCACAGCTTTTAATAAAAAAGCAATTATAGTACCTTTAAGTTTCATAAAAATCCACTTGTTACCTAAATTTAGGCATAAAACCAACTTTGAGCTCACTATTTCCCCTCCAAAATGCCTAAATAACCTAAAACAAGGTCCTTTTGTTCTTTCTAAAAATATTTTCGATCTACCCAATCACAATTTACAAAAAATTGTTGATTCGATTGCAAAAAATTGATTGTTTGGCACTTTTCGTCACAGTTATCACAAGTTTTTAGGGGTAAAAATAAAGTTTTCGCCAATAAAAATAAGAGGTCAACTGTTTGGAGCGCGGTTTTTGATAAGAAAATTGATGAGACGGCGGTTGAAAATGTAAAATTAGATGGAAAAGTTACAAAATTGGTGTCTACAATAGGTTTCGATGATCAGAAGTTAGTTTTGCTAACTTTGATTTTGTGGAAAACTTTTGAAAAATTAATTTTTTGAGGAAAATTGGGTTTCTTCAACTGACCGGTCTCGGTGCTCTCAACGGTCATTACTTGGCCGAACTCGCGAACTTTCTCCTGTGCCTTTTTTCAGTTTTTCAGTCGTATTTGTCATGTATTTTACTGGGTTTCAAATGAGGAAATGAGTTTTATATTTTTACACCTGAAAATTAGAGATTTTTAGGTATTTCTGGGTAATATTACATATTCTTTGACGTTTCATTGCTCTAAAAATGAACTCCTCAAACGTTTATTTTAGTTGCTTTTTGGTTTGTTTTGCTAAAAATGTTAATTTTGGCCGTTTTTTCAATGATTTACTGCTGCGTCAAAAAGAATTGACCACTTTTCATTGAAATTGCACTGGAATGTCTTTAATTTTTTTTGACGCGCTGGCGAAACATTTGATTTTAGGTATGAAATGACAACATTACGAATTGCAAATAAAGTTATTTTCTGTAATAGAGATTGTTTAAGCCTTCTATAACAATTTATTTTGTAATTTTTGCTAGGTTTATAAAAAATGGGTTTCAGGCATATTAATGTAGCTCATTTTAGGTCTGTTTAGTCAAAGCTCTTATTTTAGGTATAAATCGTGAAAATTTTGATCGCGGGCTGGCTCAATTTGTAAAAAAGAGTTTGTATTGCCGTTTTACCTAATTTCCAGCTTTATTGCTTGTCAGATTTATAAAAAAATGTCATTTTAGGTATGGCGGAGGAGCCGCCTAACAATAAATCTATAGACGATGAGGAGGCGCTACATTCGGCCACCGCGGCCAAGTTCAACATCAATGCGGACCCCATTGTTCCAATAACTGGCCGTGAAGGTGATACGTTGAAGCCGTTGATGTATTCCGGCCGAGCAATGGCCGTCTTCACTTCTGGAGGTGACTCTTCTGGTATGAATTCAGCTGTCAGATCGGTGGTCAGAATGGGACTGTATCTGGGATGTAAAGTTTACTGTATCTACGAGGGTTATCAAGTAAGTTTTTTGATTGTTTTTTTTTTGTTATTTAGGTAATAGGAGGGTTTTACCGATGTTGTAGTAGGTGTTGATGGTAAAATATGCCCTACAACGCATTTTGGTACAGTAGCTCTTTAAAATTAGTCTATTACGCAACTTGAGGTCTATATGAAACTGAGAAATTAGTTTACTATTTTTTACACTTTCAGGGCATGGTAGACGGTGGCGACAATATCAGAGAAGCCGATTGGAATATGGTCTCCGATATTATCCAGAAAGGTGGTACCATCATCGGATCTGCACGTTGTAAGGACTTCAGAGAGAAGGAGGGACGTCTGAAAGCGGCTGAGAATCTGATCGCACGTGATATTACAAATCTGGTTTGTATTGGAGGTGATGGTTCGTTGACTGGAGCCAATCTGTTCAGACAAGAGTGGCCCAGTTTGGTGTCGGAGCTGGTAAATCAAGGGAGGGTCAGCGAGGAGAAAGCCAAAGCTTGTCCGAATATTCAGGTAGGTTTTGAAAGGGAGGGGAGGATTTTAGAGTTAAAAATTGGCTGGTAAGAGGGTGTTTTTTGTTAAAAATGGGGTTGATAAGGGGTGTTTTTGCTTTTTAAATTAATGTTTTTCAATTATTCTTCTATAAACCACTCTTTTTCAGATCGCCGGTCTCGTAGGCTCGATTGATAATGACTTCTGTGGCACCGACATGACCATCGGCACAGACACCGCCCTTCAGCGGATCATCGAAGCCATTGATGCTGTCGTCTCCACGGCCCAAAGTCATCAAAGGGCTTTTGTCATTGAGGTAATGGGCCGTCATTGTGGGTATCTGGCGTTGGTGGCTGCGTTGGCTTCGGAAGCTGATTTCTGTTTCATCCCGGAATGGCCTCCACCGTCTCAATGGAGAACCATCTTGTGCGAGAAACTAGCACACAGCCGAAGCATGGGCTGTCGACTGAACATTGTCATCGTGGCTGAAGGAGCCATCGATAGAGATGGTCATGCTATCACTTCGGAGTTGGTAGGTGTTTTGTGATTTTTTTGGATTAAATTGTGTTTTTAGGGTTTTTCGGATATTGTAGTAGATCAAATTTATGATTTTTTACTCTAAATTTTATTTTTTAGGTATGCAAAGTCATCAAAGACACCCTCCACTATGATACCCGTACCACCGTCCTGGGTCACGTCCAAAGAGGAGGCAATCCATCAGCCTTTGATCGTCTTCTAGGCTGCCGAATGGGAGCTGAAGCCACCTTAGCCTTGATGGAAATGACGCCAGAATCCGAACCATGTGTAATATCGATCGATGGAAATGTAATGGTACGAGTACCTTTGATGGAATGTGTACGACGTACTCAAGCCGTCCAAAAAGCCATGGATTCGAAGGATTTTTCGACTGCTGTCAAGCTCCGTGGCCGATCCTTTCAACGGAACCTTCTCACCTATCGTCTGCTGACTAAACTGAAGACACCTCAGGAGAAGGACAACTTATCTGAAGGCAAACACTTCAACATGGCTGTTATGAACATTGGAGCACCGGCTGGCGGCATGAACGCGGCAGTGCGATCGTTTGTAAGAATGGGATTGTATCATCATTGTAATGTCTACGGAGTTCACAACAGCTTCGAAGGGTTGGCCAGTGGGCAGCTGAAGGTAGGATAAGGTTATGATTGACTTTTCAAAGGTTTTAAAGGTAATATATTAACATACTTATAGAAAATGGAGTGGAACGATGTCACTAACTGGGTAATGCACGGCGGATCATTCCTCGGTACCCAAAAACAACTTCCAGATAAGCATCTGGATAAGATTGCCGAAGTACTAGCTCAGTTCAAGATCCATGGCTTGCTTATTATTGGCGGATTTGAAGCCTTCCATTCACTCAACATCCTTGCCAAACACCGTGACAAGTACCCAGCCTTCAGAATTCCGATTTGTGTTATCCCATGCACTATCTCCAACAACATACCTGGCACTTCACTATCACTCGGATCCGATACCGCAGTCAACGAGATCTGCCACATGATAGACAAGATCAAACAGTCGGCTACGGGCACGAAGAGAAGAGTGTTCATCATTGAAACCATGGGTGGCTTCTGCGGATACCTGGCTACGATCTCGGCCTTGGCTACAGGCGCTGACAATGCCTACATATTTGAAGAGAAGTTTGCTGTAGATGACATCAAACAAGACGTTCAAGTGATTGTGGATAAGATGAAGAAGGGAGTGCAACGTTACCTGATTGTACGATGCGAGAAAGCCAACAAGAACTACACTACTGAGTTTGTTCAACAGTTGTTTAGTGAGGAAGGAAAAGGAGAGGTAAGGGCATGGGTAATAATGGAAAAAAAAGGTTTTGTGGATAGGAGGGGTGGGGTGAGGCTGAAAATTAAAAAATTCGGATGAACGGAAGATTGCTACGATTATTTTTGAAAAGTTTGAATTTTTGGATTTTGGAGATTTAGAAAATTTTAAAATTCGGAATTTCAGTTCACCACCAGAATCAACATCCTCGGCCACGCCCAACAAGGCGGCAACCCAACTCCATTCGATCGTAACATGGGCACCAAACTGGCAGCTCGTGCTCTCGAACACATGATTGGCCAAGCGAAAGAATTTGTGGATCTGGAGACCGGCGTGAACAAAGCCGTCGATAAATCAACCGCTAATCTGTTGGGTCTTACGGTAGGTTTTTAAAAATTTTAAAGTATTTTTGAAAAATTTTGAATTTTTTTTGAAATTTAGAAAAATGGAGAATTTTTGAGTTTTTGAGCCTAAAATGACAATGTTATTGTAGGGCCGTCACGTATCATTCACTGCGGCTGAAGACCTCTGCCTAGAGACCGACTTTGAGCATCGTCTACCAACCGACCAGTGGTGGATGAAGCTACGCCCATTGCTTCGCATCCTGGCCAAACACAACAGCATCTACCACGCCCAAGCCTTCACCGTACCCGAAGTGGAGGGCGACTTTGATTAGGACACTTTTATGGCCAAGATTACTATTTTATGGTCTATATTACTCTTATGGCTGATTTTACTCTTTTTTGGTCGATTTTTAGCCAGAACAGTTGAATTTGTGATCATTATTGAACTGTTTTGGTCAATATTACTCGTATGATCAATAGGATACGTTTTTGGTCGATATTACACTTTTATGGTCGATATTAAGCGTTTTTGACCAATCTTTCTTGACTTTTTAAGTATTTCGTTTTCGAAACGGCAATTACTTTCTTTTAGCAAAATGGTTGTAATCCGCATTTTAATCTCTCCTACTGTAACATCTAATTATATAGTTAAATAAATAGTGGTTAGTATGTGTTGGTTAGGATTTTTGTATTTTTTTGAGTTTTTATAGTATCGTACTGGCTTTACCACTCATCTGAGTACCATGTTGGCCTTAGAACATCAAGTAGTACCATAATGATCTTGAAACATCAAATAGTACCATAAGGATCCTGAAACATTAAGTAGTACCAATGACCCTATACCATACTGGCCCTAGAACAACATATAGAACCATACTGACCTTACTACTTTTATGAAAGTACTATAATGACCCTAGAGCACCAAATAGTACCATACTGACCTCAAAATGCCAAATAGTATCATACTGTCCCTACTATTTCTTTAAGTTTCATACTGACCCTAAAACATCATATTTCTTCTAGTTTACAGTATATCATCATCCTAAGACACTAATGTTAGTTCACAGTAAGCTATAGTATTTCAGTACCAGGTTTACAATATCTTATCCTTACAGTACCATACTTCTTTAGAAAGTTAGTTATAATGTTTCAGAACTAATTTCATTTCATAGTACATCCTAACCTACCCTAACTAGTGAAAAATTACAGTAAGAGCTAACTTTTTTTTGCAGTAAACTATAGCATTACAGTGCCTCTGTAGTGCATAACAATTAGTTGGGAGTAAAAGCCAAAGTGGCAACCGTTTTTTCGGCAAAGAAGGGAAAACGTCGAGAGTTACTTGGTCTTTTTTCGGCCGAAGCCGGCTTCAGAATCGATTTCCGAATTTGTTTCGCAAAACGTTTTTCCATAAATTCGAGGCATTTGTCATCAATCTCAAACTGTTTTGTCATCAAAAACCTTAGGCAGTCTCAAAAGTTCTCGGACTCTGTTTTCAACCATTTTCGGTCGATTTTTCGACCAAAAATGGCGATAGAATAGCGGTAAAACGATCGTTGTTTGTTGTGTCATTCTTGTTTTATGACGTGGAAAAAGCGGCCCAAAAACTCCCAAATAGGGCGTTGTGCCGTCGAGAGAATGCTGCCACTTTTTCCCGACGTTCCGTTCTCTTACTTTTTATTTTGTCTTCATTCTCTCGGCTATGGCAAACTAAAGTTTTTGCATTTTTGCTTACAAACAAACTTTTTTGGGCCGTTAGGTTTGGTCGTCATTTTTTTGAAATTTCTTTAAATTTTTGGTATTCTTGAGCTAATTTATTGAATTGGTAAGTTTTGATAAGGCCGATTTGGGGAGGGGTGGGGGAGGGATGGGAAACAGAATGAGAGAGGAAAGGATGAAAAAAAAGAGAAAAAGGGAGGGGGAAGAGGCATTTTTTCACAAAGATGTACATAACTTACAGTATCAAGCAACCGGTTTTATGAAGGTCGGGGAGAGGATCGTGGGGGGAGGGTGTGAGATTGAAAACTTTTTCAAAATTAGCATCAACTCTTCTGCTTGAACAAAATTTGAAAAAAACAACGATTTTTTATCTCCACCTCCCCCTCTCCTCTTTTTTCCTTCCTCCCCTCCTCCCCCTCTTTTTCTTTCTAAGCCCGACCAATACCCGCCCCAACTTACTCTACTGTACCCTTCATTTAGACTAAAAACGCGGTACTCTTATAAAAAGTATGTTTAAACCAAAATTTCATTCTCTTTTCAAAAAAAATATATTATGTTATTTTAGGCTGTCAGCTTTTTATGACATAGTCAATCATTTTTCATGCCAAATTTACCATACATACACACTTCTACTCGACATGTTTTTTCTGTTTTTCTCTCTTGTTTTAGCTCTACCCTACCCTACCCTACCCTACCCTACCCTACCCTACCCTACCCTACCCTACCCTACCCTACCCTACCCTACCTTACCCTACTGTGATTTACTCTACATTACCCTACCCAACCCTAACAAGCCTAATTACCGCCGTACTAGACTAACTACAAAATTGATGTGAAAACAAGAAAATACTCTTGGCTATTATGCACAAACTTTATTTCCAAATCTTGGGGCCGCTTTCGGCCGCGTTAAAAGGCTTTAGAAGGGGGGGGGGCAGGGAAAGGGCCGTAAGAAGAAATGTTACCTCTTCTCTCTTCACATTTCTCTATATAGCTGTTTGTTTTGTCCTACAAATTATGGCTCTATATTAATATCGGTTTTCTTTCTTGAAATTGTGGCTTTTGGGTATTGATTTAGGTAAAAAAAAATTTAGGTAACAATTTTTTTCATTTTTTAAAAGAAAAATTACATTTTTTAAAAAAAATTTTTAAAAATGTGCCATTATTTTTGTTGTATCTGCTGTTCGACACATTACTGTTTGCTTTAACTACGTGCTTTATGTTGTACTACGTGCTGTTGACAATATATACAAATTTTAAAAATTTTGAAAAATTTGAAATTTGTAGCTTTTTCAGTGCTTTCACTTCAATGGCAACCCATTTATTCACTTCAACGTAACTTTATCTACAATTTTATTATACTAATTACATTTTAGCCTTTAAAAATTTACTTTACTCCTCAATTTATAGGTACGTTACTATCATAATACCGCTTTATATAAAAAATTATTCTAGCTTACCTAATATAAGTTATATTACTAGTACTATAGCACATTTTTACTACTATAGTTTCTTTTTGTACGCCATTTAGTATCATTTTAAAGGTTAATAATATAGTAACTTCGGTACTAGATAGTATCGAATTGATTCATAAAAATCTTTTATAAGAGTATCGTACTAGCTTTAGCACTCTTACAAGTATACTAGTAGCATAATAATATTTAATAGTTTTGTACTAAATTTGTTACTAAATAGTACCGGACTTATTATAGTAAAAATAATAGTACCATACTATCACTGAAGCTCTTAAACGTACTAAATTATTATAGGACTTCAACTAGTACCATAGTGATAGTTTTAGACTTCTTAGTACCATACTGACACCAGAAAACCAAATAGTACCATACTATTCCTAATAATCTTCTGAGTATCTTACTAATCCTACTACTTCTCTGTGTACCACATTGATTCTAGCAAACCAAATAGTACCGTATTGCTTCTACTCCTTCAAATAGTACCATACCAACCCCAACCATGGCCACCGCCGAAACAGTACTAGACAGTGTTGGGGACGAGAAGACAGTCCGAGTGTTCGGCCATGAAATGCCCAAATCCCTATTCATTGTTCGAGTATTCTACCTACTTTACTATGCCTCTTTCGGCTCCTTATTCCCACTACTGGCCGTCTACTTCAAACAACTTGGTATGACACCGGGACAAGCTGGTCTACTGTTGGGAAGTCGACCATTGATAGAGTTCTTATCAGTGAGGTTTTGGAGTGTCTTTGCTGATTATTTCAAAAAAGGTAGGCTGTGGAATTTGAAAAATGATTGGGGATGTTATAGTAGGTTGTTCAAATAATTCTGTGCCGTCTTTAGGTTGTTCAAATAATTAGGTGCTTCCTTTAGGTTGTTCATTTAATTATTAATTATGTACCCTCTAATCCCGGAAATTTTCTTTGAGGGCGCAAAATTATTTGAGCAAGCGAATATGTAGTAGTCGAAATAGTGTATTTGGCTGTCAGATTGAAGCTAAACACGTGGCTTTCTAGGAACTTTTTGACCAAAAATAAGGTTTTTTATTTGCTTGTTAACCAAAAATCTGCTTTTCTTGTGATTTTCTTACCTAAAATTCTGTTTTAAAGTCGTTTTTTGACCGAAAATTCTGTTTTTTATTTATTTTTCGAGCTAAAATAATATTTTCTATTCATTTTTTGAAGAAAAAAATTATTAAAAACCGTTTTCCATCTAATTTTGGACCGGAATCGAGCTTTTGTTAACTTTTCTGTTTTAAAACCTATTTTCTATTCATTTTTCGACCTAAAATAAGGTCTTTGGTCTAAAATTAGGTAGTTGATCTAAAATGAGGTCTTCGATCTCATATAGGTTGTTCAAAAAATTCTGTACCACCTCTTAAAGCAAATTTTAGAGTTCAGGGGATGCAGAATTATTTGAACAACCTAGTATAATATTTCTTTTTCGAAAATTGAATTTTCAACTTAATTTTTTATCAAAAACCTGATGTTCTATCAACTTTTCGGCCTAAATGAAATTTTCCGGCATGTCTTTTACCTAAAATAATGTAGTCTATTATCTATTATTCGTATTTTACAATTCAAATCTCCTAAAACAATTAATTTTTCTAGGCAAACTCCTGCTCCTCTTTTCCTTAGGCACTTTTATCGTGTTCACCTTGGCAATTGGCTTCGTACAACCGGCTACACCGTTTTGTGTTGTATTAGATAAGAATAGTTCTGGTGGTGAATGTAAACTGCTTCGTCCGGCTAGCGAGATCATTCGAGGCGGTGCCATCGGCTTCTTCAAGCAAGCAGCCGGCTTTGGGAGGAGAAAGCGACGAGATGTACCTAATCGTAAGTGTTTATATTGATTTTTTTTGGTTTTAGAGGCGGAGACAGTGCTTGGAGGGGTAATTTCCATATTTTTATAAAACGGGGTGGATCCAATGAAACTTTTTTTTGAGAATCGACAGGGGGAACCACGTTCAAATTTTATTTTAAAAAAATAATTTTTTGGGGGGGGGGGGAAGATCTCAATTTTTTTTTCAAATCGATAACATAATCTAATCTCAATCTTCCAGAAATCATCGACAAAATCATTGACCTCAGCAGCTACGATGATGAAGATGATCGTGTCATCGGCAAAGCTCCAGAATACGTGACTCCGGACAAAGTTTGTAACTACGAAGAAGATCAGTATGGTATCCTCGTCAGTCCTCCACATAGTACTCGAGTCTACAAGGAGGCTGGTGTTGAGCAGGCATTCATGTTGTTATGGCTCCTAGTGGCTTTGGGCGAACTGTTCTCATCACCAGCTATTGCCATTGCTGATGGATATACGTTGGGGATTTTGCCGGAGAAAAAGGAGGTGGGTCCGAAAGTTTGTAGAAAGTTTGGTTTTAGGTCAAAAAGTAGCTAGAAAAATAAACTATCAGTCTACAAAGCATTAAAATTTTACAATTTTCAAAAAAAAATTTCAGTTTGGAAAGATCCGCCTTTTCGGCTCAGTAGGCTGGGCCTTGGCCATGTTAGTGATGGGTATTGGCCTGGACTACTCTGACACCTTCCGCAACCACCCATGCCCAACCAACAATACCACAGAAAAAAACTACACCCTATGTTTCGTAGCATGTACCATCTTTGCATTAGCGTCCATGGCCATAGCCACTCAATTCAAGTTCAGTCCAAGCCAGGATCATAGGCCGGACGAGATTGGCGGCTTAGTGATGGACACGAGGTTGGAGGAGGTGGACCCGGCCATTGCGCAGAAGGCAAGGGGCAAACAACTTCAGGCGGATGCGAACAAGGAGCAGGCGGCGTGGATGCAGGCGCTTAAGGCAATGATGAACATCCACTTTGTGCTGTACATGTTGGCTGTGGTTTGTGTTGGCATTGGAGCTGGCAACATCTTTGCTTTCTTGTTTTGGCATATGCAGGTAAGGGTTTTTTGGAATTTTAAAAAATCTTGAAAAAAACTTTTCTGGTCAACAGGGGGGACCAAGCTGATTTTTTTGAGTAAAGTTTTTTTCCTGGGCAGTGAGGGGAAGAAGGGCTAAAAATAATTTTTTTTTCATTTATTTTGACCAAGCCTAAAATTTGGTTTAAAAAAATTGGGCGGGGTATTATTTTATTTTTAGGGTGTTTGCCGAAAACTTTAAAAATATTTTATCACCTTCATTTCAGGACCTTGGAGGTCATCCAATATTGTTTGGTATCTGCTCGGTGGTTAATCATGCTGCTGAAATCGCAGCTTACTTCCATTCATTTAAATACATTAACCAGTACGGCTATGTTAAGGTAGGTCTTTTCATTTTGTTTTGGTTTTTAGATATGTAAAGTAAGGTAAGACGAAGAAGGGTAGGGCTGAGAAAGAGGTATATAGAGTAAGACGGACTAGGGCAGGGCTATTGTAAGGCTATGACAAGCCTTGGTAGGGCTGATGGCAGAGATATCGTAGGTTAAAGGGATGGTTACCGTAAGGTAGGGTAGAGTAGGGCTTTCAAATTAAAATTTTTAAAACGGTCGTATCAACTTACCTTCCAAAATAACTTTCCAGACAATGTACGCCTGCCTGGGAGCCAACGCCGTCAGATTCCTGTTGATATCGTGGTTCTCGAACCCATGGCTCATTGTTCCACTACAGGCCGTCCAAGGCGTTACCCTAGCCGTAGTTTGGTCCATGGCTTCATCCTACGTCTCTATTGTATCTCCAGCTCATTTAAAACCGACCAGTCAATACATTCTGTCGCTTTTATACAATGGAATTGGCAAAGGTCTGGGCCCGATCGTTGGCGGCATGATAATCACTTCTTCTGGTAGGCTTCTGGGCTTATTGTAGCTTCTAAACCTAACAATTTTAAACTTTAAATAACTGTAATATACATTATGAATCTACAGTATAACTAAAATTATAATACAAACCTGTTTACCATCAAAAAATAATTAGAAACAACAAAGAATTGCATTAACGTAGGTGTACTTACTATAATATAACCGTAACTTTTCAGGAAGTCGCTTCTTGTTCGTCATGATAGCCCTGTTCAATGCTGCAGTACTAGGAGCAATGTATGGAATTAACAGAGCGTTGAAATATGATGGCATCAAGTACCAAAATCAGTTTGAAGATGAAGATGGTGATGCTCTTGGTGGTAAGTATAATATTATTGATATCTTTGGGAAAAACATCGGAAATGACATGACATTTTAGTACTATGGGTCAAATTGAATTTACTACATATTAACTACAATTTTTAAATCTTACAAAATATTAGTGAAAAATGGCAGTTTTTATGATTTTCTGCTGCGCCCTAGCATTTGCAGACTGCGAGTCTTTTTATACGATAAAACATATCCAACTAGGAAAAACATGTAAAAAAGGAAAAAATGCGAAAGAAAATAAAAATTTGCATAAATCTGTAAAAATTTTGATTTTTGTTATTTTGCCGCTTCAGCGCCTCAAGGCCTGCCTCTTCACTCGGATCCAAACAAAATCACCGAAGCCTTCAACCAAACCACGATCAACAACGCCAATTATGGCACAATCGAGGAAAGCAATCCACAAGATGATGCGTACGATCGCTACGTCAGTAATCCATTCAAATAACTCTCAACAAATTCACTTTTTAATCGTGCAATACCGCTATTTTCAAATTTTTGGTAAATTTCTATTATCGAGTACTACTTGGTTTTCGTGTCAGTCTAGGCAGTATAGTGACCTTTTTTAATTGGACTTGAATAAATATGATAAAGAAAAGTGTGTTTTGTTACTTTGTAAAGTTTGACGGGTGTTGGCAAGAGTAGTTTTACTTTTTGAATATTGATTTTTATATTGTTGCTTCAAATTTAGGTACGAATAACATTAATTTGCTATTGCAAAGCTTAATTGAATTTCAACTTTGTTAAGACGATGGTTTTCTTGATAATTTTAGGCAAAAACGTTCTTATTTTAAAGTTTTTACCTTTTCGAAATTCAAAAAAAATTTAAAAATTGTTATTTTTGGATAATTTCATTTGAATTTCTCAAAATTCGATAATTTTTCGAATTTTCAAAATTTGCATATTTCGAATTCAAAGTCTTCGTAAGCTGAAAACGGCGGTGATAGCTCATTTGATCACTTTCACATTCCAGGAGGCGGCCGGGATGGCTCCGTATTTTATCGACGTGGCACTTTCCTTCTGTTCCGTGCACGGTGGTCGACACCAAGCGTCTTCCCATGGATCAGCGACCGGAAGGTTTCTCTATTGGCCGTTCTGTACCAAATCAAGAAGTGCCATTCTCGATGCGGACGGTGAAACCTTTTCCAACTCGGTTGAAGCTTGGGAGAAGATCTCGTAGTGACTTTGCTCATCGAACAGGCTGAGGATTCAAAAGGCTCAAGTGCGGCAGTTCTGATGACCTACAAAGGCAACCAGACCGAAGCTGATCCGCTGATGGCTTCGGATGTGATCGACATTTGCAAAGCACAATCGAGAGGTTGATGAAACACGACGCTTCGAAACCGAAGAAGAGCATTCGGTAGACATCGCCAAGAACGTCAAGTGCGCGCCCTGTGGCAAATAACTGCCAAAGGATATGATCAAGGACGTCACGGTCAAGTTCCAAGTGGCCCCGGGGCAAAAGTAAGTTTAAAATTTGGTTTTTTTAATTTTGGGGAGATACAGAACTGGAGTAAGTTATAGTATGAGGTACGTTAAGGTGATTTTGAAGTACAGAAAGATAATTGGTAGAGTAAAGTAAGGTAATTTTAAGATTACAGCATTGAAAGGGTAGATAAAACTAAAATTAAATTTATTTTTACGCTTTAGTGTGGCGTCAACCTGAACCCCAAGACGATGGTCGTGACTAAAGTGGAGATGCAGGGTGCTGGCCTACCGATGATCGAGTTCGGCGACGTTCTTCAGACATTGCAAAGCACAAATCGACAAGCTGAAGAAACGCGATGCTTCGAAACCCAAGAAGAGCATGTTGAAGGAAAAGTAGGTTAAAAGGGTTGTTGACTTGAGTTAACATGGTTTGAAACTTGAGTTCATGTTTCAAATTACTTTTAAAAATTGTTAATTTTAGTAAGGAGCCCGGCGGTCACGTGTCGCTCGAGGTGAAAGGTCAGTGCACACGCAATGGTGGCTGAGTGCAACATCATGCTCATGGTCCCAATCCTGGCTGCCACCAGTTGTCAACAACTACAAGAGCTTGGCTGCCATGGAAAAGGGAAAGAACTAGACTGATCTCGAATAAATAACTGATTTTTAATTCGAATAAACGACTAAATTTGAATTTGTTTGATTTTTAAGTTTTATATTCAAACCATACCTTGCCTTAGGTTTTTTTTAGCAATTTTTTAGTATTTCTAGGCCTAGCGCTGAGAGTTCCAGTGCCATTTCGTATGCAATATTATGCTTTATAATGAATAAAATTTGTTTTAAAATAAGCCTAGTAAAATGGAAATTATATTTTTAATTATTAACAATACCTGAATTTAGTTCAAACCAAGTTGCACTTCTTTTTATATTGTCATAGGCATTACAATTTAACTATTCTAATAGGGTGACTTCAGATGCCATTTTCTATGGAACCTTCTAAACAAAAATTTTAAAATAATGTACTTGACTACTCCCGATAGAAGGAAAATTGTATTTTTAAAACTAGCTATTAAACTTTGGTTTAAAATCAGCTCAATCACTTAACACAGGGTGTCCCGAGAAATTTCGTCGCTAGAAATAATTCATAACTTTGCAACTATGCATCCTAAAAATTTCAAATTTGGCACAGTTGTTGAACAGACATGTACATTTTTTTATGGAAAATTTTGAGTTTCAAAAGTGCAAATTACGGTCACTGTTGATTTTTAAAAATCAGCATTTTACACCGAAGTTACACATATTTTCTGTTGAAAATCACTTTTTTCATCAAAAATTTCTAAGTTTTTGGCTCTTTTGTGGTAGGAAATGCATTTTTTGAGATGAAATTTTATGTTCTCCGCGTTGGCGGAGAGTTGGCGGACGCTTTAAATCATCGGCGGAGGCCATAACTCGCTTCAAACTTTATGGAGAAATTTGAAACCAAAACTGATCTTCTTAACATTTTATGCGCTATCCTCCGATGTATAAGTTCTAATGAAATGTTCAGGCAAAACAAAAATTTTAAAGGCTAACTTATTATTATCATGAAAAGTCAACTTTTCGTTTATATTTTAAAAAGATAATAATTATAATAAAATTTTGCGGAAATTTTCAGTTGCAGTTTTTTTTGAGTAGTTTTTACAATATAATACTAAAAAAGTAAAATAAGTAACGTAAACTATGTACGTAAAACAGTTAAAACGTTTTTAACTAAATGTATGTCCATAAAAACAACATAACACATTTTGTCGTACTATGCGTTTAATTTGTCTCTTTTATGTAATCTTTTGTGTTTACTTTAACATTACTAGAACTTACACATTGGCGGATAGCGCATAAAATTTTCAGAAGATCAATTTCGGTTTCAAGTTTCTCCATAAAGTTTGAAGCGAGTTATGGCCTCCGCCGATGATTTAAAGCGTCCGCCGACTCTCCGCCAACGCGGAGAACATAAAATTTCATCTCAAAAAATGCATTTCCAACCACAAAAAAGCCAAAAACTTAGAAATTTTTGACGAAAAAAGCGATTTTCAACTGAAAATATGTGTAATTTCGGTGTAAAATGCTGATTCTTAAAAATTCACAATGACCGTAATTTGCACTTTTAAAACTCAAAATCTTCCATAAAAAAATGTATAAGTCTGTTCTACAACTGTGCCAAATTGGACATTTTTAGGATGCATAGTTGCAAAGTTATGAATTATTTCTAGCGACGAAATTTCTTGGGACACCCTGTATTGTTCAAGACCATTTGCAAACCAAAAAAGTGAATTAAAAAAAACCGCGTGATTTAAAGTTAAAAAATTGTTAAAACAACTAAAAATGTTAAAAATAGACAAACTTGATCACTAAAAATTTTTCAAGACAAACGACTTTAAACTTTGTCATTATGATAGTTAACTTTTGACGGTTTTTGAATTTGGCGGGCTTGTGGCATAGTGTTGCAAGGGCATTTTATAATATATAACGGTTGTTAGAATACAAAGTTAACAGTAAAACTATCATTTTTAAAGCAAAAATTCTTAAATTTGTTTTTTCAAATAGGAAATTTTAAAAAATTTAATTTTAAAATTTCGAAATTTTAAAAATCCAGAAAATTACGGAACTTCCGCGAATTTTCCCAAAACTTCTCGCATTTTACACTCGTAGAGCTGTTTTGAAATGGCGTCGCTGTAACCGACGCTTCAGGCTTCTGATTTCTCGGAAGAACTCTGAACAGCGGTCAGCCGGCTGTCTTCGGGAAAAAACTTACTTTCTCAACGTGGTAAAGTGTTATTTGATATGTTATTGAAGGTATTGATGGGTTTAAATAAGAAATGAAGAGTTTGTGATATTTTTCATTAGAAATGAGGATTTTATAACATTTTTCATTAGAGATGAAGATTTTATGACATTTTTTATTAGAAATGAGGATTTTATGCTATTTTCCATTCGAAATCAAAATATTTTTAAAATTTTCTTTGTACCCTTAAAAGTACAGTATTTCATACTCAAGTACATATTTACCTTTTTCAACATACGGTAAATACGAACATCTTCCTTGTTACTTGACAAAGCCCTTTGACGTACGACACAATAACTGGAGACATTTATTGTGTCGTATGTTTGCATATACCGTAAAATATTTCGTATATTTGCACAAAACATGGGTTTATGCAATCAAAAAATAATATAAAATGGCGTGCCTTTCCGAGACGTTCCTCCATGTGTACTGTCATTTTAATTTTTCTTGTGTAGCCATAACTTTTGCTATGATGTAATGGTGATTTTTATTTTATGTACAGTAGACTCCTTTTGTAAGAAGTACCTACAGATATCGTATTAAGTTGTACTTAAAGATTTAGTAATTCACTTTTAAGATTAATGTAGCCAGAGTTTTCATTATTGTACTTTTAGACTAGCTTGTCTTACCCTAACCCTAGCTTTATCCCACAACCATAACCAGAGCCCTAGCCCAAAGCCCTAGCTTGAAGCCCTAACCACCCTATCCTTAGTCCTGGCCTTAGCAATACCCCTAGCCTACCTGAAAATTTTTTACTTTCCTACCTCTAGCCCCCTAGTTAAAATTAATGTACCCTACGATGCGATACTCAAGCCATCTTTAACGTAACCAACTATACACCATTGCCTGCCAATTTTTTTGCATTTTGCTACCCCTGCCTAGCATGTTCCCTCTTCCTATGCCAGAACTTCCTTTAAAAATACTGTATGTCATGATATAATACCGTAGTTCCACCTCCGCATCTATCAAGCCTGTAACTTCCTTAACATAATTGCACTTTTAGACATAATTTACGATTTGTTTACTCCACAAACTTTCGAAATGATTACTGCGTAGTAAACAATAATTTAACTTGCAGCTTTTCGATAAACATAATAGAAACATATCATGCAATAGTATTATTGTCATTTTTTTGTAATATTATTATTGTCATTCTTTTTTCCTCATAAGCTGATTTAGGGTATTGTGAAGGAAATACTATTTATATACCTATTGTTGTTTGTTTTGGGTTTAGAAGATCATTTTTACAATATTGTTAAGAACGATTTTTAAAAAGCGTTTTTGTATTTTAAATACTATAGGTTTTGTAAAGATATTACTGTAAAGTCATCAAGGTCCCGCTAGAAAAACGAAGGATAGGGTATTGTGGAATAGGTATGAGCAGATTATGTAAAGTAGGGTAGAGTAAATTAAGGCAAGGTACGGTAGAGTAAAGTTTGATAAGGTGGGTAGGGTAAAATAAAGTAGGTTAGGGTAGAGTAAAGTAGGGTAGAATAAGGCACGGTAAGGTAGCACAGAATAATAAATAGTAGGGTGGATCAAGAGTAGGGCTTGGTTAAATAAGGTAAAATAATGTAAGTATGGTAGTATAGGGTAGGGTAGACTAGTTATAATAGAGTAGGGTATTCAAATGTAGGGTAGGGTAGGTCTGGTCTCTGCAATATAAAGACCCTATAAAGACCGCTCGATAAAGTAAACCCTTGCCATAGCCAATATAAAAACAACTGTCATTTTATGTTACTTATCATAGGAATCTACTGCAGAGTTAAATTCCGCATATGCGTATTTTACATTAACCATTTAATTCAAAAACCAAAATTTAAACTTTCCAGTAACTAATCCACAAAGTTGTATTTTACAAATGCCATTAAGTTATGCCAAACTGATGGTATGCACTCTTTTGCTTGTATGCACCTTCTACAATGATGTCAAAGCCCAGATCAATGGGTATGATTTCACGGCCTCCGGCTCAATCCTAAGACCATGGGGCGGTGGTTTGGGCGGTGGTGGCGGGTGGGGTCGAGGCAGAGGCCGCTGGGCCAATCCATTTGGCAGTTTCCGCAACGCCGGCAACCCATGGTATCGGTACACCAACGCGTTGGGTATACTGTGATTTGTGGTTTTGGAGAATAAATTGTATCATACTAACGTTTTGATGTTAAGAGTTAAATTTTATTTTCTTGCTATTTTTAAATGGAACTGATTGGCTAAAGTTCCCGAAAGCCCTAAAGCCACTCCAGAGTTGGAGCCGGAGCTTATAAAAAGGCGGAACGGAGCTGAAGCCGGCTTCCGTGTCCGGCACGGCTCCGGCTTCAGCATAGCTCCAAGATCCATCACGGCATCCGCTCCAGCACGGCTCCAGACCTGGAACTAAAATTTAAAAAAGGCGAAGCCGAGGTTGAAACCTGAGCCAGAAATCATAAACTGGAAACCCTGGGTAGTAATAGGATTCGATTAACATTGCTGTCGTGTATATATAACACTTACTAACACTTAACTACACTTTTTTTCTCTTTTTTTACTACTTATAACAGCCTAACTCAAGAGCAAACTGTTGTAAGTACATAAAGAACTGTATAATACGTCTCTCGACAATATTTATCATACCAGTTATTTTACTAGCACTAACGTCTCTTCTTTCAGTAACATTAACGTAGAAATGTATTTCTAACAACCAATGCACAATATTTTTGTTTTTAATAACAAAAAATGCTCATTAACATTATTATGATCATTGTACATATAACACCCTTCTATTAACAAGCCATATGGTTAACCGCCTTATTATGTAGTTCAAGTAATTATGTGCCTCCTAACCCCAAAAATTTGCTTTCAGAGAGGGCTTATAATTATTTGAACTACCTAATAAAAGTATATCTGCCAATTTTTTTTGCTCTGCCGTTTTTAAATTGATGTATACAACTATACCATGACTCCTTTCATAAGTGTATTATCATTTTTCAAAATTATTATTTTATTTCGTATTTTATGATTTTATCATTATTTTAAAAATTATTATGTTGTTCAAATAATTCTGAGCCCCTAGCCCAAAAACTTTGCTTTGACAAGGGACTCAGAATTATTTTTACAACAAATAACTTTTGACACTTATATTATTTTAAAGCGTGTTTTATCATTTTTATCATATATGACAACTATAATTTGCAGTCCAAACGCTTGACTAAATAAATTACTTTCCAGACCGTTAAGAATAAACTAAATTTTCGCCGTATTTTACAAAATGGCATCCCAAACAAAATTAGTAATATGTGCCTTGCTTCTGTTATGTTCCCTACAAGTAAACGCGGCCCCAAGACCCATGCCCCAAAGTAATGGATACGATGGCACAGCTTCCGGCTCGATTATGAGTCCATGGGGCGGTGGTCTGGGTGGTGGATGGGCATCACCTTATGGAAGCTTCAGCAACTCCGGCAACTCAATGTATAGATACAGTAACGCTCTCGGCATTCTCTAGTTTTTTACGGATATTTGGCAATAAATCATTTATACTAAACGGAGTATGATTTTTTTTGCGTATTTTACTAAAACAATTTGTTGTAGGACCTAAGCTGGGGCTCTGGGCCAAGGGTCCAGATCCTCAGGTCTAGTTAGCTCCCTTTCAAATAAATTTATAATTTACGTAAGGTTTTTCCGAAAGAATAACTAAAAATGTCTTCAATGTGATACCAATATAATAGAAAATGTTTTTACTGCGGTATCAATGATATCAATATAATAGTGTATCTTTACTGTTATCAGCAAAACATTGTAATTCAAAAAATGCCCATCAATCAGTTATCTTCAACATACCACAACTTTTTGTTGTCGCTGCGCCTAAAATAAATCGTCAATAGTTATGGTGTACTTTTTGTTATTTCCAAGTTACTATTACTATTTGGCAAAATTAGTATTAACACCTTGTTAATATAAGACCTATATTGATTTATCGTAATATCTATGGCTTTAGCAGAGCCTTTAAAGCTGTTGTAGCGTTTATAGTTAATATATAGTACTTTTATCGACGGTATAGCCTCTCTAAGCATGACTTATAATCTCTGTAAAGACTACTGCAGATTGTTCGACTTCTCTCAACCCTTATCAGCAAAATAAGAGTTTAGACAGGTCTCTGGAGCCTCCAACAAATCAATTATCTCTATCAACTTTGTCATCAAGGAACCATTAACACCCTTTAAGACCGTTAACACCCTGAATAACTGTTACCAGCCTATAATATTTGTTTATGTTGCCGTGAAGGTGATCCATCACAATGTTGTAAAGCCATTCGTCCTCTTAAATACCCGATTCCTTTGTCATCATGGGTTATATAGCCGACGTGATGTTGCCGTTATTGTTGTTATTACTGTGCTCGGTTGTCGACAGTACCCCGTTCACGAAAAGTGAAGGAAGAAATGTCAGCCCACAACAATATGCTGTCATTATGGAGCACTTCTTGGGCGGATCCAAGAATGTCAGATGGGAAACCATGCCTATGTCAACGTTGGATCAGAATGGTAAGATTGGGCGTCATGTTGATATGATATTTCATTGATATGGAGCTCTAAAACCAAAAAAACAGAATAAAAACTTACAAATTCTTACAGGAAAGCCAGTAAAAGGCCTTGGAAACTCTGATTGTATGGATGTACAAGGTCAAACCAGAAAGAACGGTGAAGAATACGACCGACCAAGCCACAGATTCAAGTTCATATGCAAAGATGGCGAAGAACAAGTCACAGGTAAGATAAAACACCTAATAATGTTTTGCTTTATACCTAAAATACCTAAAAATTCCCGGCTTTTGACGTATAAATCTCATGAAAAACATTTAAAACTACCTTAATATAATGAAAAGTTATATTAAGGTAGTTTAAAGGATAAATTTACAAAGAACCTACTACAATATAGAAGAATAACATTGGCAAGTAAACCAGAAGCACCTAAAAACATAAAAACAGTCAAAATAATATCAAAATACCTTATTTTAGCTTGTATCGGCTCCTCTCGCTCCAACAACGCCCGGATTCCAGTTGGCTCGAACGTTGAAGTCGACGGCTTCTGGCACAAATGCCAAAGCTTCCCCAACGGATCTGTTGTCTATTTCCAAGGTAAGAACTCTTATAAATTATGGAAGAATAACCGATTATGCTAGATTATCTTATACAGCATATAAAATTAAATAATTAAGCGAAAACTAGAACAAGAAACATCTAAGTTTAGACAACTTTTCATAATAATATAATCCAGTGCCGGCCAATTGAAATTCGCTTTTTAACTTATTTAGAACGAAAAATAATTAAATTACCTTTAAATTACATAAAGGCTGATAAAAAATTGATTTCATGATACGAAAACGTTGATTATTACCTAAAACTCCAGAAAAACAGCTATATCTTAACGGAAACGATCCTTTTTCAAACCAAAAATGACGTTTAAATCTTTCAAGCCTTATTTTAAAGCTCCTAAACATCATTCGTTACCTAAACAATCAAAAAACATTAAAATCGTACCAAAACATCCATTCCAGAGCCATCTTGTCGTGATATGAAAGGCAAAGAACTCCACATTGGCGACGAATTCACTGCCGGATACCTCCGCCTGGCTTGTGACGATGGTGGCTACAAAACTGTCGGCTGTGTTTTCCACGGTAAAGACGGTGAAGTTATTTTGCGCGAAGGAGAGACCAGAGATGTTGGCAAAGTGTCACATCATTGTGAGAACGTTAATGGAAACTTGGAATACTTCTCCAAGGCTAGCGGCTGCACCAAACTGGACAGAAATCTAAACGAAGGTGATACGTTCAGCGAGAATCATTTGCACTACAAATGCGAAAATGGCCTCGCTCAGATTACTGGTAAGTGGAAGGGAAGCGGATGTTATTCATAAAGAATGGTTATAAACTCGAAAAAATTACAATAGGTATCAAATCTAGTCCAATAGAAGAATTTTTCACGTGACTTTGTTGTCCAATATTTGTTTTATAATTTATCACTTTGCAACCAAATCTTTTAAAAAGAGCGAAATGCCACAGAGTTATTGGAAAATGTAACGAAATGTTCCAAAACGTATTGACTTTTTTTAGCTTTCAAGTTTTATGTTTTTGGTCTAAATTAATGTTTACTAGCTGGTTTATTTTGTTTTTACATTACTTTTATTTTTAAAATACGTCCCTTTGAATAATGATCAACTATTTTATATTATTATAGGCTGTTACGTTAGCGAGCACAAAGACTTATCAATTGGCCAGGATCTGGAAGAAAACGGAGTTCTACACCGCTGTTATCGTGCTGGCGGAGCTGTTGAATACGAAGAATTCCCATGTCATGGTGAATCTTGTCACCCAAAGCCAGTTGACTCCGGATCAGAGGGTCCAGTCGTGAGCCAAGGTCAAGATAAGTCTCGTGGATTCGGAGCGTTTGCCATTGTTCAGAGGATTGGAGACAAAGTTCAGAGCCCGTCGACCATGAAATTTGATTTGGACAAGCTCTTAATGAGATCACAAGGCTGAGAACTTGGGTTTAATATCTTTTTCATCAAGGTTTGGTTACGTTATCCATCTAATCTGATGGGTAATGTAATTTAACATTCTTCTGTATATTTTTTTGATTGTGTATGGTTTGAACTTTTGAAAGAGTAAAAATGAGATTATCAGCTTTGTTTTGAGTTTTAAAAATTTCGTTTAAAATGATTTTTGGTCAAGTTAAGCCGTTTTTCCAGAAGCATGTACAACAAGATCAAGGTTATGTACTTTAACGATCTTTTATGTTTTTTGATATTTCTATAATTTTAAGCTTTTTGCATTTTAGAAACGAGATTATTAGCTATCTTTTTGTATCTAAAACATTTATTTTCTATAAAAATTACTGGAGTGGTCACTTATTTTTCAACAGCCTATAACAATATAAAGTAGATAATAAAACCCTGTTGTTATTACACTGTAAAACAACAAAACCACAAGGTTACCAGACAAATAATAATAAAAGATCAGCATAAAACACATTTTTGTTGATCAGACAAAACTTTGGATTAGTTAATAGTTCAAAAAAACAAATAAATAAGTTGAAATACGATATTCAGACTAACCAATCTTTACATATAAATTATGTTATGACAGAACAACTTTTGTGAACTATATAAGGGAGTTTATGAAGACTTTTTTGATCACAATATTGTGCTTTAGCATTATATATTGATATTGGCGAGAGATTATTATCTATAATATTGTACTTGATACTTACTATAATATAATTGAGCTTTTTGGATAGTGTAACTTGAGATTAGTGCCTAAAATAATATTTTAAAAGCCTTTAAACAGTTAATTCAAAAATTTTTTTTAATTTTAACGACTTTAAAAAATGACACTAAATTTGTTCAAAGTAGTAATAGCTACCATGTTTTGTGTTGTACTGGTAAATTGCGACTACGGAAGTCAATGTAAGTGTTTTTAAAATTAGGTTATGTTATTGTCGATGTTGTTTAAGGCAAGTTTTTTAAAGTTAAAGGTTTTAAAATTATGTTTTTAGCAATTTATTTTGTCTCGGTTGGAGGACAATCTTGCCCAGCGCCTTATTGTGACATAGCCTGCGCCAAGGTTTATTCAGAGTTGGCCAAAACGTAAGTTAAAGCTATGATTGTTTTTAAATGTGATTTAAAGTTTATTACGGCTTGGTTTTATAAAAAACCAAAAAATGTCTATTTTTGAACGAAACTAGGCGAGGAACGTAAATTTTAATTTTTAGTCAAACACTGGCAGCAGCTCGATGTCTGGGCGACTTGTGTTTATGTTTGTTTGATTTGTCGTTATAAATCTATTACTACGAGCAGTTCAGCGATATTGTAGTTACTATAATGTCTATATTAGTATGTTAGGATAGGATAATAATTTTAAAATTATTAAACATTAGTTTTAATAGATTGTGATTGCCATGTTGACTATTATCAGAGTTTGCGTTTTAAAATGTTTTAAAAATTTTTAAAAGAAAAGCTTTGAAATTTCAAAATTAAAAAATAACTTCAAAATTTAAAATTTTTATATTTTCGTTTGTCCTGCGGCAATTAAAATTGATTTCACACATAAAATAAACAAGAACTAACTACCCATAACAATAACATTTTACTACCTGTGATTGTAAAAAATACCGCGTTAATTTAATCGAGTTTGTTTTTTCCTTTGGAAGCTCTCTTTCATCTGTACTCTATTTTTAGATAGCTTGTAGACTGTTCTTGTACCAAAAAATTAATTTTCAGGTAGGGTAGGGTAACGCAGTGTAGGGTATGATAGGATTGGTCAAGAACGACAAGACCATGGGTTGGCTATGGCAGGACAAAACTTATGAAAAAAACGTTTACTGTAGGTTTTGAAAAAATAGCTGCAGACTAGTATACAAGGCTTGGAGGGTAAGTTAAAGCAGGTTTGAGTAAGGTAGGATTGGGCAGTGCAGAGTAGGGTAGGTAGAAGTACGAATGGGTAGGGAAGAGTAGGGTAGGGCAGGGCAGGGCAGGGCAGGGCAGGGCAGGGCAGGGCAGGGCAGGGCAGGGCAGGGCAGGGTAGGGTAGGGTAGGGTAGGGTAGGGTCAGGGTAAGGTAGAGTAGGGTCGGGTACTGTAGACTACGATTGATCAAGCATGATAAGAATATAAGTTGGTTAGGGTAGGGTAGGTCAATTACGAAAAGACGGTGGGTCGGCTAGGGTAGAGCAAAACTAAAATCAGTATCTGATTTTACTGGAATTTTAAAAAACTGATTGTACTTTTCGTCTGTCCATCATACTTTTCAACTTTTACTATTCTCAAAAAAGATTCACAACCTTCGTCTACTTTCACCACCTTCTTCAAATTCTCTACAAAAACAATTCAAACTCTTGCTGCGCCCTTCCGATTCCCTCGCTTCATTACACTCTCAGTAATTAGCAAAGTGTTTGGGAACTTCCAGTCAGGTAAGTGCCGTTAATAACATTGATTCAGTCGGTTTGATTCGCTTTTTTGGGTAGAAATGAAAACAGTTTGGGTGGTTGTGGTGTGTTTGTTAATTGTTGAAGCCAGCCATCTTCATCATCATAACCGACATCGCAGAAAGATCAATCCGAAAAGGAGAATCGTGTAAGTTGTTTATCAACTGCAACATTCGTTTTGTTATCGATAAAAACTTGATTGATTTGTAATGGAAAGTTATTGACAAAAGAGGCAACGTAGGGTTTGGAAGGGCTTGTGTAGGTTGAGGTAGGGTAAGTAGTGCAGGTTAAGGTCGTCATTTGTAAGGACTTTGGCAGTAAGGCAGATTTTTTGATCTATTTGAGTATGATGTGGATTTTGAAAGACTCGGGTAGGGTAAGGCAGGCATTTGGAAAGGCTTTGGTAGGGTAGGGCTTTACTAATATTGGAGAAGGCTTGCATTCAATAGGGCTGAGTCCAACCTTGGTTTGTAGAGGTATTGTATAGGTACAGTCGAGCTTTAATTAATGTAGGGCTTCAATAGAGGCTAGAATGTGGGAATTTTAAAGGGTAGGGTAGGTTAAGGAAGGGTAGGGCAAGATATTGATGTGCAAGGTAAGATAAGATAGGTTAGGGTAGAATACGACAGGTTAAGATACGATAAGGATAGGGTAGGGTAGGGTAGGGTAGGGTAAGGTAGGGTAGTTTAAAACACACGATATCATAAAGGTACATATTTGCTCAAGCCTTGGCTTTGCTTTACTTCAACTATGCTCTAGCCCAGCCCCACCCATATTCTAGCCAATTTCTAGCTCTGCCATGTCCTGTAAAAACTATATTTCAAAAAGTAATTTAATTTTTTTCAGTTGTGTGAACGGCCAAGAGACCGACGGTGCCTGTATCTGTAGCTATGGTTTCATAGGCAAACATTGCGAGTACAAGATGTACTGCAGTACCTATCAACGACATGACAATGGCAGTTGTTTGAGTTGTAACAAGCACTATGAAGGTCCTCATTGTGCTGATATCGTATGTGTTAATGGTGAAAGGGACGAGGAGTCGGTACAGACTTGCAATTGTAAAAAGCCTTACAAAGGTCAGTACTGTGATGTACTTGAAACTGAAGATGTATACTACCTATACAACTCTAAGGTAAGGTTTTTGAATTTATTTTTATAAACGTTGTCCTACCCTACCCTGCCTTACCTTATCCTAGCTTACCCTACCATACTCAAAATTTTAAAAATAATTATTCTAGGTAGCGATAATAGGCCCATTAGGAGCACTACTAGTCATTCCCATGATCATGATCTACTACGGCTGTGAACATTATGCCAAGAAACGACAGGTCAAGCGAATCAAAAAAGTTTGGTCCGACCAAACGGCTCTAACTGTCGATGACAATAGAATCAAAACCCTATTGTATTGATGTTAATAATATTGGTAATAAAATTTTATAAATATTATACAGTTTTTCAAAAAAGAAAAAAAATATCATTCTCCACTGAAAAATGGCGTAAAACCCTCATTTCTAATGAAAAATGTAATAAAATCTCAAATAGAAAGTACGCATGAAAAATTTAAAAGTATTTAAAATATATACAATTTTTAATTTTAAAAAAGTAGCCATGAAAAATTTTACTTTGGGCTTTTGTGTTTTACATTTTAAATAATTGGTTTTCCCGCCAATTTGGCAAATTTAGTATTGTGTTTCAAGCACTTTTTTGACTTTCCAGACAAGCTACGCTTACAAATTTAAAAATGTAGGTTTATTTAAAGGGTTTCTACTACAATATCAAAAAAAATTGTGTAAAAGTCCAAAAATGGTGAAGTTTAAGCTTAAAACACAATGCCAATTTGCCTGGAAATTCAAAACGTAATTTTTTGTATTTACATGATCTTTCTAAATAAAAAGTTTTAATCCAATCATAGCGGGGCAGGTCGGGCACCCCCCTTATAAGCCTAAACTTCAAAACGTTAGTATAGTTTTTTTATTCCCCAAAACCACAAATCACAGTGTATCCAACGCCCTGGTGTACCGATACCATGGGTTGTCGGCGTTGCGGAAACTGCCAAATGGATTGGCCCAGCGGGCACTTTCATTGACAGTTTTAATCAAGAATTCTCTAAAATTCTCTGATTCAAAATGTCATAAAACCCTCATTTCTTTTCAAAAATGTCATACAACCCTTATTTCTAATCAAAAATGTCATAAACTTTTCTTTTCAAAAAATATTTTAATAAAAGTGTCATTTTAGTCAATTACCTTTTAACTTTTTACAATATTATATGACTTAATCATACAATAATTTTAAAAATAGAAAAGTAACATCAAAAACCGCCAATCTTTATTTGACGACTTTTAAAGATCGGCGATCGCTAATTTCTGACTTTTGTATATTATTTACCATGCCCATTGAGCAAATAAACAATTTGGAAACGGGTGGTTGTTAAACCCGGCTTGTGTATACAATCAGAAAGTGTTGCGATTTTCGAAATTTACTACTGCATATTGTAGTAGACACACTATTTGCAGTTTGCTTTATAAAGTGCAAATATTTTTTAAAATTTTAAAAAATTTTCGAAATTTCAGTCATATGAAAAAACACGTCAATAGGGTATATAAAGAGGATAGGGTTTGGAGTTTGTATGTGTTTTGGCACATAAATTGTATTGTATATAGTTTGTTAACAAGATTGGAGCAATATGAGGTTGCTACTGACTGTAGTTGTTGCTACAACGTGTTACGGTAAGTTTTTGTTAATCATTTGTAAAATGATCTTTTAACCAATACATAGCTCGTCTTGCTCTACCCTCGCCATACTATCAGCCTTAGCTCAGAGCCCTAGCCCTAGCCCAGAGCTTTAGCCCAGAGCTCTAGCCCAGAGGCCTAGCCCAGAGCCCTAGCCCAGAGCCCTAGCCCTACCCTTAGCTCTAGCTTTAGCCCTGGTCTCAGCTCTAGCCTCAGTCATACCCTTACAGTACACTTTACTAAGGTCTTACTACACAGTAAACTCTAGTAAAATCAATATATAAAAACAATATTTTTAGTTCATGCCATGTTTGGTGAGACGGATTCATTGAATCCGTACGATCCCTACAGTGACAACAAGAACATGCCCTACCACCCCAATGACCCTGATGACAATGCTCGGAATGGAGAAGACTTGACTATCAGCAAGCGTCAAATTGGTCAGCCAGGACAGCCTGGCCCACCCCCACAGATTGGTCAACCAGGCCAGCCTGGCCCACCAGCTGGTCCAGCTAGAATAGCAAGACAAGTCGGTCAACCAGGACAGCCTGGCCCACCAGCTGGTCCGGCTAGAGTTGCTCGACATTCCGAAGACAATTATGAACCGACTGACCCAGTTTACCGCGCTGTAAGACAAGGTGTTCAGCCTGGTCCAGAGCCAAAAGAGAATCAACCAGTACCACAAGAGCCGACCTTTACCATTGAACCACCAAGGATTGGTGATAACGGTGAGAATCATCCAGAAAAACGTCAAATTGGCCAGCCGGGACAGCCTGGACCAGCTGGACCAACTATGGTAGATTCATCACCTGAGAAGAGACAAGTCGGCCAGCCGGGACAACCTGGTCCTCCAGCTGGTCCTGCTAGAGTAGCTCGTCAAGTAGGCCAGCCAGCTCAACCTGCCCCTCCTCCGCAAATCGGTCAACCAGGACAGCCTGGCCCTCCAGCTGGACCAACTAGAGTAGTCAGACAATCTGATGACTGTGGCTGCGGTGACAGCATGGCTAGAGTAGCCAGACAAATTGGCCAACCAGGCCAACCCGGACCCGCTCCATCTCGAGCAGTTAGACAAATTGGACTACCTGGTCAAGAGAAACCTTCTGGTGAACCAACAAGAGTAGTACGTCAGTCCGACTGTGGTTGTGGTGATAGTATGGCTCGAGTTGCCAGGCAAGTAGGTCAGCCAGCTCAGCCACCAAGAGCAGCCCGACAAGTAGGCCAGCCAGCTCAACCCGCTCCACCACCGCAAATCGGTCAGCCAGGACAGCCTGGACCACCAGCAGGTCCAACCCGGGTAGCTCGCCAAGTAGGACAGCCAGGACCGCCCGGTCCACCACCACAAATTGGGCAACCAGGACAGCCCGGCCCGCCTGGTCCTACAAGACTAGCCAGACAAATCGCCATGCCAGGCCAACCAGGTCCTCCAGCTGCTCCAGCTATGTATACTAGTCAAGACGGACAAAATTACCCACCAGTCGAACCGGAAAGAGTAGCTAGACAGGTGGGACAACCAGCTCAACCACCAAGAATGGCGCGGCAAATTGAAAAATCTGCTGAACCACCAAAAGTTGTGGCTAGACAAGCTCAACCTGCTCAGCCTGCTCCTCCACCAAGTCTTGGCCAGCCTTCAAGAGAAGGAAATGATCTTAGCCAAGCTCGTGAGTCTAAGCAAGTTGGTCAACCTGCCCAACCAGCCGGTCCAAACCGAGTAGCCAGGCAAGTTGGTCAACCAGCCCAACCCCCAAGGGCAGCGAGACAAGTGGGTCAACCAGCCCAGCCCGCTCCACCTCCACAAATAGGTCAACCTGGTCCAGCCCAGCCTCCAATGGCCCACCAAATCGAACAGATCGAAAACAACCGCTTCAAACGGCAAATCCCACCACTTTTTGACCACCCCGAACAGATGCCAACCATTAATCAACATTCCTATCAAGGTCCACCACCTCAGGTCATGTCTGGTGATCAACAACAACATGATCAACAAAGGCCAGCTCGAGACATTGGCCAACCTGGACCGGTAGCACCACCTCAACTAGTCGACCCTACTAGACCACTTGAAGAGCGTAGTCCTAAGCTTCATAGTTAATATGTTATAGTATGATAATGTGTAAAAGACCATTAATATTATAATAGTACTAAGCTAGTACTAAAATAGTATTAAATCAGTACTAACAATACCACAAAATGTAAATATTATATTGTATATAACAAAGTAATAAATGATGCAAAGTAATCCGAGACAATATTTATTTTACAAAAAACTCAAAGCAAAGTTAGCCTAGTCCATTACAAGTTGATCATGGCTCTATAGCAGTCTTGAGGTCAGTCCAAAGCCGCAGCGTGGGATCCCCATCGGCGTCCAAGCCATTTGGAAAGTTTTCTGAAAACAAAAACTAAAAAGAAAATTAAAATGATTGGGCCATGATCTACCCTTATATTATCTAAATAACTAAAATTACGAATTTTTCAAATCTCTTACCAGGTGATCTAACCCTAGTGGCACTTGTAGGCGAACTTCTGAATGATTGGGGGCTCGGCTCTCTTCGCCCTGAAGACATTGGATCGATGGCTCTTGGTTGAAGGTTTGTTGGGGTTATTCCAACAGCCGTATGAAGGTTCAAATCTATAAAATATAAAATTACACATACTATACTATCTTAAAAATTCAAAAATTATATTTTTTAATTTGTAGTCCTATAAAGAATGGCAGTTTTTGGCCAAAAAACGTTAATTTTTTGTAAAAAATTAAGAAAGATAACCTTATTTTGCTCATAACTTTGTTACAGTAACCCAAAATATCGAAATAGGTATATAATATGAAAGAGCATAGTTTTCTTACCAGAAAGTGACATTTGGGCCGATCTTGCACCATCACCGCCGCTCGTATCATCGTTGTCAAAAAAACCTTCCAGTTTCGCTGTGTGCAAGTCATTCTGGAAGTTTAGGTAATAAAACAAGACCAGAAGCACCTTTTTTGAAATACTAACTTTATTTTATCAATTCTATACCAATTTTATCCTTTTTGTGCTGAGATTTACATAGAATTACCAAAAACCTACCTCAATATTAGGAAAAGTAGCTGCAGTATAAGTAGGCTTATCTGGAGTAAGTTCGACCAACTGGGCTGGTTGTTTGACTCGTTGACCTTGTTGTAGCTGTTCCATAGTCACAATAAAACGCATTTCAATGTCGTCACATGCTTGTCGTTGCTGAAAACTTTCCATTTTTATATAATATTTCATCAGATTATTTCAGGTACGCTTACCGGTAAGGTTAATATAATAAAAACAACTTACAATCTCTCGACTCGTCTCCAGAAGATAATCCGAGGTGATGATAAGCGAGGTATCTTCAGTTGGCAGATCTCCTTGTGAATTGTGTTCCATAATCGACTGATTTGATAATTCGACCACAAAGAAACGGAAGTTTAGCGACCAGTCGATGCTGGTGAATTGACAAAAATGTCTTTTGTTTTCATTTTTTGCCAACTTTTCGAGAAAATCGACTTTAAAACGACCAAGAACTGGAAAAAAGTGGTTGATAACATCCTCAACATAATATTCTTCTTGTTTGTTACCTAAAAATCGGAAAAAACATAAAATAAACTTACCAAATCTTGTAATTTGTTCTACATTTTATTTGTTTAGAATATTCTTCAAGCAGCCCTCCAAAATTGAGAAACAGCGGCTACAACAATATAAAATTTCGCCAAAAAAACCATTTTTTTAAATTGAAAAAGAGATATCTACTGAAAGAATAGGTAACAATAAAACCCAAAATCAATTTTATTTTAAAATACGAAAGTCACAAAATACTTTATTATAGCATACATGAATATACCTACCATAACATCCATAATTCACTAAATTTTCAAATTTTTTTTTCAATTTTCCGACTCACATCTCTCTTCCAAATAGTGTAAATAATATTTACTTCAAATTCTTTTTCAAATAATCATAAATTAAAACTGTTTAAGGTTGATATTGATATCGAAATACAAAGGATAAAAGAAATTTTGTTAAAATTAAAATTTTTATACAACTTGTTAGCTATAAAATCGTTGGAAAATGATAAGAATCGACTATTTTAGCCTAGAGAATCATAAAAAAGTTCATAAAATTTTTAAGAAAGCATTTTTAATCAAAAGTCTTCGAAAAAATGGCAAAATTGAGCTTTTTCTAGCCAAGTTATGGCCATTTTTTCTCTTTATATGGCCAAAAATTCAATTTTAATACCTAAATTACTGGTTTAAAACCCAACAAGTTGTAAATAATAAAGAAACAGATACAAATGAATGAAATAACGATTGAAAAGACTGAAATGTATAAGAAGTAAGAAGAATATAATAGTAAAAAGTAAAAAAGTAAAAAGAAAATGAAGAATAAAATAACAAAATCTAGAAGAATAGAAAGAATAAGAAGAATACAACAACAAATCTAACAATGATAAGCCCAATTCAAATACAAAAAAATATTCAAAATTAGGGCCGGCCCGTTTGAAACAAAATTAAATGACAGAAACTGCGGCCCGAGGCGTCGCTGAGTCAGGTCTTTCTTTTGGCAGAGGCTCTTCCTCCTCTTCTTCTTCAGCTATGTCTTGTGATAGGCGGGTTTGGATCCAGCCTCGCCAGCCAATGGATTCTGAAAAACAAAATTTTTTAAATAATTTCAAAAAAAAATTTAATTTTAAAAAATTTTTATTTAAAAATTTTGAAAATTTTAAATTTCAGTTCAAATGCAATCCTCCTTACCATTCTCCAGCACCTCCATTGAAGACAAAAATTGATTTCCATCGAATCCGCCAATCACATAGATGGCATTACCGGCTGTCACAACAGCGTGAGTATTGGCTCTGGGTGTTGTTAATGAAGGCGCGGTTCTCCAGTGACCATTAGGATGATCCAGTACTTCAACTAGATTCAAGGATTGTTGTCCATCATGACCTCCAATAACGTATAGGGCATCTGGAATGAGAATATCATAAAGCTATGTTGATAATGTCATTAGGACTGGACTTAGAGGGAAGAGAGGGTACAAAATAGGATAAGATAAAGCATGGCAGGGTAAAGTAGGACGGGGTAGAGTAAGTCAAGATAAAAAAGAACGGTTAAGAAAGAGTAGAGTAAGGTATGGAAAGGCACAGTAACTTCCCAATCCTTACCTCTAACCACCGCCACAGCACATCCCCTTCTTGGCGTGCTCAACCTGGCCAACGTTCTCCACTGTCCAATCGCTGGATCATAAGCCTCGACCGAATCCAAGCAATTCCATCTGTCACACCCGCCAATACTAACCACCATGCCCTTCCAGGAGGTGCAGCCGGCTTGTTGTCGTGCCTGTTGCATTGGTGCTATTGGTTCCCATGATTCACTGTCTGGGTTATATCGTTCGCAATCCCTCAAGGCCATTTGATCATTTGACCCGCCCAAGCTGTAGACATAGCCATCCAAGCTAGCACATCCGTTATGAGAGCGGCCCTTCATCATGGTCGGGATCTGATGCCATTTCTCGGTTTTCGGGTCGTAGGCTTCAGCCGATTTCAAGTCGATGTTGCCGTTGGAGCCAGCTACAGCGTATATTCGGCCGCCACACACGGCTACGTCAAAGCGGCCGCGTTCACATGTCATTGGAGGCAGCTTCTTCCATTCGTTACCTAATACATCAAACTCTTCGACTGTTTTTAGGCATTCTCCTCGGTCGTAGCCACCTGAAACAAGGTAAATTGTTGATAATTTGAAGATAAATTAATAATTATTTTTAAAAATTAAGTTTTATTATTAGGTTGTTTACATAATTCTGTGCCTCATATCATACCACAAAAATTTGCTTTTTAAAAAGACACATAATTTTTTGAACAAACTAATAGTTATATATCTACAATATGCAAACACTAGGTATGTTAGAAGCCGCCAAAAACTTTGTTTCCATCCAATGTTCCTCGAACTTTTTATAATCAAGTGCACCGTTGCTTAACTTGCCAGATCGGACAAGATCGCGCATTCGCACTATGCAAAACAGGACGCTGCACAGTGCAGAAATCCATTTTATGGCAATAACTTTGTTTACAATGATCGAACATGGCATTTTTTTTTGTTTTTTTTTTGGGTTTGGCAAGAACTTTGTTTACAATTTTTTTTATTAAAATAAATATTTTTTGGTAGGGTTTCGGAAGGCCGCGAAAACTTTATTTACAAAATAAATGGCATTTTTATAAAAAGCCAAAATAAAAAAGACTTTTTGGCTCTATTATAACAAATTAAAAGCCATTTTTACTATAGTAAAGTAAAAAAATCCAAAAATATTAAATTTTTCTTGAAATTCAGTTTAAAAGTCACCCCCTCCCCCCCCTTACTCCAACCCCCACTTACCACAAACAATGATTTTGCCATTCAAAAACGCCGCTCCAACCGAACACCTAGCCACACTCATAGCAGGCAACGGCCTTCTCGACACCGACACACAGTTGGCCAGTTTAGCCAAAACTGAGTTCTGTTGCACGTCCGTTGGCTGTTTGGTCATCACTATAGTGTTATTGTTATTGCCATTCTTGGTGTCTTGTAGTGGTGGAGTGGCTGAGTTCGAGTCTCCGGATCCGGCCACTTCTTCATCGTCAGTCAGGTGCATACTCAGTACGACCAATTTCTTGTACAGTACGACGAGTGCTATCCAGAAACCGCGTGAAGTCTCGTGTACGGCGATCATCTTCGACTCGATTTCGTCTTCGACATCGGTTTGAGATGAAGCACAAGAGTTCAGAGATTCATTCGACGCGTACTTGGCATTGGCTACACGGCTAGCGTTGATTTTGACTGGGAGAGCGCCGGTGACGTGGTGCTGGATTGGCTGGGCTCCGATTAGTTGGCTAGAATTTAAAAAATTAAACGTTTTTAAGATCTTCATAAAAGATGTCATTGTGACGATTTTTCCAAAAAACATGTCATCATGACGAATTTTCCAAAAAATGTCATTATGACCCTAAATCACGTCGAAAAACGGTACGATCAATCAAATTCAAGCAAAATTTTTATTTTTCTTACCTGTTATGCCCAGCTGACTTTGACGATTTGGATTGTTTGGAACGTTTGTAGTCTTGAACTACATCACACGAGCCCACCGAACTTTGATCGTCCATTTTGGCACAATCCTCTAGACTAAAGTCCTCTTCCACGAACAACAAGTGGGCCTGAAAAGTAAACAAGGTAAGATAAGTAATGAAAAGAAGGTTCATAAGAGTGTAAAAGAGATTAAATTTGGCCTAAAACATTAAAATTGGATGAAAATCACAAAAAAATATTACCTTTTGCACCAACGCCTCAATTTGTTGATCTACCCTATCAGAAATCTTTGGATATTTCTGGAAATAGGCCAAAGATCTCTCGGCCAAACTAACACCAGCATCCTGATTAAACTGCTCATACTTGGGTACGATTATCCTTAGCTTAACACAAGGTAATTGAGTAAACTCGACGCTTTCCGATATAATACTATCAATATTCTCGTTGATAAAGGAGTCCACCTTGTTCACAAGATAAGAATCGTTGTTGAAGTTGGCATGTCTTCTGATTCCAATACAATTACCATAGCTAAGATTGTCGGCCAAGTGCCTGGCACAAGCCATGGCCACAGAATTCACTTGCAATGCGTAGGAAGTCTTGTAGAGATCGGCTACTTTCCGATTGCTGATGGATAATATTCCAGTGTAGGCAAAGTCGACCAGCGCTTCGAAACATTCGTAATCGCCTTGATTGAATTCGAAATATGACATGTTACCAACAGAATCGTGAGATGTTGTTTTAGGAGCTGAAAGTTTAATTTATGATAACTTTTATATTATACATGGTTAGAACCTTGTTAAGTTTCTAGACAAAATACTTCAACAAAACTAGCTTTATCTGTTATGCACGACATAGCAAAAACACTAAAATATAAAATATCAAGAAAAAAAGATAAACTTACAACTTTCATCGCCGCTAACAAACATATCCAAAAGTGAGTTAGATAAAGCAGCTAACACAACTTTATGAGCCAAAATCTCTCGTTCCTTAATAAATAACACAACGTCACATAGTTCACGGTTTCTACGAAATGTATTCAGTCTCGACAACATTGAATTCTGCAAATATTCAAATAAACCCTAAAGATATTACCTAAAATGCCATCCAACTTCCAAAACAGCATCATCCTTACCATAAAATCCTCCAAAAACAATAAAATAACTTACCGTAGCATTTCCATCTTTTAGAATAAGTTTACACTCTTCTTTAGCATCGATTTCATCAATCCCCCACGTATCAGTATCATCCGCCCTTCTCGACACAGCACTTCTTTGTCTTACAGTCACGAAAACTAAAGGTGGCTCCTCGCTCTTGGCCTTTTCATCCACGTCAATGGCTGGAGATGGTTGTTTGTTCATATCTGATATGGTGATACAAAGGAGTTGACGTACGGAAGCAAGAAATGCAATAATCTCGGCCCGAGCGAGCGCTATCTGATGGGCAAGTACAATATCAGATAAGGAAGAATAATATCTAAAAATAAGGTTGTTTTTGAGTTTAAATAGAAAAATAAAAACAAAATACCCTTAAAAGCAATTTTATTCAAAACATGTTTATTTGTACTAAAATAGTCTATTGAAACGAGTAAGAAAACATTTTAAAAGTTTTGCAAACTCTAAAGATTATATTATACTAGAAAAGACGCTGAAAAATGTTTGCAAAACATAAATGATGAAAAGAAAGTAAGCTCCTTATTGTGGTAAGAAAATAAAACAACTCGAAATAAAAATCAAAAATGAATAATTAATTTTTTCGGCGTATAAAAAAGGTGCGCAGACTGCATAATTTTTGCGAACTGCGCCCAAAACTACTTAAATTTTATACCTTCAAAAAAATCTTGGTGAAGTTTGCATGACTTATCACTATTTTCTTAGTCGAGTGGTCAAGAAATTCATAGAATTAATTTATTTAAGCCCTTTTTCATACTCAAACGTTATTTTTAGGAATAAAACAAAAATTTTAATTTAAAATAGTTTTAAATATTCAACGTACCAAAAATCCAAACTCCAAACTAGATGTTCTGTTCGGGTATAATGTGTTTAGCACCAAAAGGGCTGTATAATCTGTAAAATTCACGAAATTTTCGGCATTTTTTACCTTTGAATTCACAAACAGGTCCGTTCACCACAGAATCCGGGTTGCAAATTTGGCGTAAACACTGAAAGATAAATTAGCATTAGTCGAGAATTCAGAATGAGACTCGAGAGTTCACGTTTTGTGCCCAATTTGGCAAACAGAAAGAGATTTTTGGGAGAAAATTAGAAAAAATTGGTAAGAAAGGTGGTTTTTGCATGGAAATATGGCGGTTTTTGGGCAATCGGAGGTAGGTGGTTAATAACAAACGTTTGATAACAATAGAAATTTATTTACAGGATGGTATTCCTCAATCTATATAACAAGCTTTAAGCAAACGATAACATATTTGCTAAAAACAACTACTACAACTACAAGAATAGTCTTCTGCAACCCCTTTGACAATTTACTTAACCAACGATACTACGATTGCTAGATGCAACTAATACAACTACAAAGCTGGTTTTCTGTAACCCTTTTGACAATAGTTTTGGCTGACGATACTGAGCTTGTTAGGAGCAACCACCACGCCTACAAAATGGTCTTCTGTAACCCATATGACAAACGTTTTTGAACTAAAAACAGCTCGTTTCCCACCATTTTTGTAAAATATTGTCTTTGCAAGGCAAAAAACAGAAATGCAGATGAGAGAAAGGACACAAAGGACAACAGATCCTAGCCAAGTTGTCAGAAAGAGCGAAAAACAAAAATATATCCACGGATCAAAAAACGACTGAACCTTCAAGGCTTTGTACAATGTTTTTGATACTTTACTACTTGTTTTGTCTATGAATAAAACTACGAGAAATTCTGGGAGCTAATTATGGGCTAATGAAGATTTTTTTCAGTAGTATCTTTTACTTTTAAAGTCTTCAGAAGCTGAAGTTAGGTTTCTGAAGGCTTCTGAAGACAAGGGTGTTTTTCCATAAGCTTCAGAAGTTATTTTTGAAATTCACAAGCTCTCAATAATGCCTAAAGATTCCTGAAGCTTTCAAAACATAGCTGTAAATAGTATAAACTTCTGTCTATCAATTTCTACACCTTCTAAAGCCCTTAAGCTTAACTATGAATACCTCTACAAGTCCCTGAACGCTTTTCACGCAAAATTGCTATAAAAATTGCGTTCCAAATAAGAATTGTAGCAAGTGTATCTGAAGTCATACGTCAAATACAACTTGTAGTTGACACGCAAACATTTTTGACATAATTTCGAAAAGAAAAAACAATAAAAAGGAAGCCGAATTTTACTTTTTCGGCCTTAATTTTAGATTTTCAAGCTAAAAATTTTGCGTTTTCACTATAAATAGAAGGTTTTAACGCAAAATGTTGGGGTTTTAAGCCTAACAATTAAAGTTTCTGTTTAACGTTTTATGCTTTTTATAGAACAATATTATTTATTAGCCTTTTAAACAAACTACAGCCCCAGCTCAATCAAAAAAAGCCCAAACAACCCTTTATAAACGATCACATAGTAAAAACAAGACCGTCCCACACGACACAAACGCCATAAAGTCTTGTATAACATCAAGATTAAGCGTCCAAACATTGAATCCCTATCTAATATAGACAAAATCCCCCTCTAATATAGACATGTGGTGTTTGAATCCCTACTAGAGTTTTAAAAATCTAGCACTTGGCCCGAAAGCGCGCTCAAAACGAAAAAAAAACATTGAGGAGAAGGAGGAAGACGGAACGACGCGCGGCCCCCAACGTTTTTGCTCCTTCTTTTTTAGTTAAACGAGAGTCAAGAACAGGGTCCAATTTCTTCGGGTTTTTACGTATATGGCCACAAAAGTGTTTTGCGTTAGTGGGCCCGATCAAAGGTTATTTTAATAGTAGTACAGGAGGGCAAACAAAAAGTAAGGGGAAGGTGGTTTGAAACGGGGATAAATGACTATTAAATTATAAAAAAAGGTAGGGTGGGCGGTTCAGGAAATACTGTAGAGCAGGACTGAAGAAGAGATATGGCTACCTAAAGATACAGTAGAAATAGGTTAAAACTAGGGTAAGGGTAGGTAGTGCAAGGATAGGGTAGGGCAAGATTAGGGTAGGGAAAGGATAACTTAGGCCAAGGATAGGATAGCGCAAGCATAGGGGAGGGGGCAAGGGAAGGGTAAGGCAATAATAGATAAGGGCAAGGGAGGGTAGGGTAGAGTAGAGTAGGGTAGGGGTAGGGTAGGGTAGGGTAGTTAGGTAGCAAAATGCAGGGGCTCGACAGGCTAAGTCTAAAAAATGATGTAATGTTTCCAGAACAAATTCTGATAAAAATTTGAATAGGGCTTTCCCAGACCTATGTTTACTTTAAACTAAATTATTCTCACCTTTTAGTAAGACATTGACACGCTTTTTTTGAAAAAATTTTTATCAAACAAATTCCTGGGAGTTAAGACGTCAATAAACTAAAGGGTCTACCTACTGCAATATAAAAATTAACTGTTTTTAGATACTCAACGTTGTAAAATTGAATTGGCATTAAAATTGCTTGAGGCTAAAGAGCTTTTTTTGAAAACGGGCCGTACTTTTTGATTTGAAGCAAGGGGTGGGGAAAAAAATTAAAAATAATTTGGACAAAATCTTCAGAGAAGACTTTGAAACACGTGGGAACAGGTGGTGGATCTTTCGAAAAAACCGCCTTAGGGCTTTGTCAACAGGATTTGCTGGCTTTTCTGGAAATGCACGGTTTATAATGGACTGTTCTTTAGTCTGGGTTTGTAAAGTAAAGGTAAAGGCACGTAACCAGAAGGTAGGTTGTAGTATAGGTCAAGGTAGAGTAAAATCAAAAAAATGCTTCACGCTAAAGAGACATATAAGGTAGTGTAAGGTAAACACAAGCTTAAAAAGTAGAGTTATACATAGTATTTTGGTCCAAAAGTTTGTAGAAAGATCCCTACGACTCTGATAAAAGATATGTACTATACTTCGAGAAATATTAACAGTAAAACGTGGGACTATAGGGTCACAAAAACTTAAAAACTAATAACAAAAGTCAAGAAAAAACGTTTAGTTAGCGATGTTTTAGTAATTGATGGCCAAGTACATGAGGGAGTTGGCCATTATAAATCAAAAACTTAGTAATAGTCACGTGAAAACGTAAGACAATCAGTTTGAAAGTGCTAATGAACGTCCTTTGAGACCTATTGTATATTATATAATATTACTTTAGGGAAAAATAGGTAATAAAAAGCGTTATTATTACTATTGAGAGCTGTTTCATTAAGTTTTGTGATTACAGGTAAATTATTGGTAGAGAAAGTAAAGGTAAGACCATTTTAGGACAGGGTACTGTAGAAATATGATAGTATAGGGTAGGGTGAATCAAGGTAGAAACAATTTAGTACTGTACTTTAGGATAGTCTAGGCTTAATGTAAAGCTAAGGTCATTCAAAAAAACTGTAGGACAGGGCTGAAGAAAAGTTATGGCTGCCTATAAGTACTGTAGAAGTAGAATAGAATAGGGTAGGAGGCGGGTAAGGTAAGGTACTGTACTTTAAGGTAATTAATTTTAAATTAGTGCAATTAAAAATATAGTGGGAAAGGGATGAAAAAAGTTCCAAACCTTGCTTGTTTTCACTTTACTATACCTTTCTCACCTTCTTCCTGTACCCCCTCCCCCCTCAATTACTAAAACCCCTTCCAATTATAAACTCTAAACCTCGGCCTAAACCCAGGTCCTCAACAACCCATTTTTACCCCAAAATGTGATTTTTTCGAAAGTCAAGCACTTTTTTCGCCTCGAAATACCTGGTGACACTTGGGCTTTCCTCGAACGCCCAAACTTTTCGAAGGAAACGGAAATTTAAAGTGCAGACAAAAAATTGAAAAACTTAAAGTCCGATCAAGTTTTTTCTTTGATTGAGGGTCAAAGAAACCGGTGTCATCATAAGCCAAAGGGTAAATTTTGATTTTGAAAACGGAAGGACAAGTTAGTTGGAGATTGTCGTGTACTTTGTAAGCAAACAGGTCAGGTCACATAATATTGATTGCAAAATGGGAAAATATATAAAATTTTACAACTACAAAAAGTGAAAAATTACCATAATACAATTACTGTGAAATTCATTAATGTTTAAAACCAGTAGTTAGAGTAAGGTTAGACAAAATTTATGATATGATAAGATAGCTAATGTTAGTTATGACAAATAGTTTAGTACTAAAATAGAGCTATAGTAATACTAGAGCAGTGTACGGTTAGGAACTAAAGAAAATTTGAAAGCTACTGTAGGAATTATTGCAAGCTAAAGCTTCGACTACAACTTGAATTCGTGAGGAGCGCCTTATCACAACT